TCAATTTGTTTGAAAATTTTTTTTTTTTTCTCTGTAACTCAATGGTAGCGTCTGGCGACAATCTAACCTGTCTGCGCCCTCTTTTCTCTCACTATATCCGAGAAAAAAGAGCGCCGTGCAGAGATGAGAGAGTGCAGAGAAACTAGAATATTTTGAGTTGCAGAGAATGAAGTATATCTGCACTTTTTTTCTCAAGTTCTTCCATTTTCAACAGATGACACACCCTTGGGCCATATTCAACCTTTCGGAAATGTCGCCGTTTTTACCTGACCTCCTCCAAGTACACCTGAGCTTCGGTGTCCTTTCCAACCTTTTTCCAATAATTAAAAAGAGTATATTATTCGAAACATGCCGGTACGGAGAGGAACGCGTTCCCCTGCACCCCAAGTGCAACTGATATTTCCGTTCGAGCGGTTTTCGGCTAAGGAAAAACTGCGAAAGGACATGAACATCTCCTTTTTTGGCATTAGAAGGGCAATGCTTGTTTCTTGATGTTGGTAGGTTACAGTAAGCCAGGCTTTAGCTTGACATTAAGATATAGTGACTTAAAACTGCAATTTTAAGATTTAGAAAAGGGAGAACCCTCAGAAAGTTAGCTAGATAATGTTTCAAAGGCTTGAATTTCAGGTTGAAAGTGAATTAAATGTTTGAAAATCGATTTCCTGAGATTTAACGCGAGAAAATCGGTTTTCAAAACGATTTTTATCATTTAGCGCCGCCCTGAGCCTTTAAAATTTTTTCAAGACTTCCAAAAATGGTCTTGGTTTTTATGAAGCTCTAGGTTTTCTCATGGAAGCTTCAAAAGTGGTTTCATAACGATTATCATACCTTGGCTCCGCCCTGCGCCTTTAAGATTTTAAGAAAACGATGATTTCTGGAGATTTCAGGCGAAAAAAGGGTCTTCCAACGATTTTTTTTTCAAGTTTATAACAACCCTGCGCCTTTAAAAAGATTCCAAGCGTTTATAGACGTTCCTGGTTTCCCGAAGGAGCAGGACAGAACTTCAAAAAATGTTCCATAATGATTATCGTACGTTGGCTCCGCCCTGCGCCTTTAATATTTTCAAAATTGTGCTATTTTTCAAAAATTAACTGAATTTTCCATCAAAAATTTTTTTTTTCAATTATGGTTCTATTCAAATTCTTTCAAGTCTCAGATTTTCAAAATAAAAGTCGGTTAATTTTTGAAAAACTTGAGTTTCTTTTTCGAAAAAAATTAAGAAAAAAATTACTTTTTACACTATCAAAAATGAAAAAATTGTTCAAAAATTTCCTGAATTCCCAAAAAAAAAATTACTGGTATATTTCATTTATTTTTTTATTGCTTAATTAATTGAATAGGTCCAAAAAACGCTTTTTTTGTTCTTTTTAAACTTTCTGGAAAAAAATTAATAACTTTCAAATCAAAAATTCAAGAAACTAGGTATCACCTCCATTTTTTCATGAACCCTTTCTGCGCCTTTAAAATTTCTGGAATCTTGTTTTTTTGGATCTACCTGCGCCTTTAAACCATTCTTCAAACTGTACTTCTGCAAATCGAAAAAAAGCTGCAAAGAAGGCGTTGTTTATCCGACGCCGCCTTAAAGAGTAGTGGGCGTGGCCAGCAAATGGGACAGCTCGGAGAGCGGAGTTCAACGAAGCCCCGCCCCCGGAATTCGAAACAGTCGTGCTTCCCAAAAGATAATATGTCGCGAGTGCTTTCCTTATCACGACGGTCAGTGCATTGTACGAATGACCTGCCCCTTATCGCTTCCAGAAACTTTTAGTTTCTGTTTCAAAACAATCGCCCATTCCCGGTCATTTCCCTATTTCGACTATACGATCACCCAGTACTTTTCGTGAGCTTAAAATTACCAGAAATTCAAAAAATAAACCTCAGAATTCAAGATTTTTGAGATTAAAGCTTGACTATCGGCAGTGGTTTGAAGTCCAGAATTTTTCCAGAGATTCTAGAAAAAGTTTAAAGATGAAAAAAAAGTGTTCTGAATTTCTAAAAAGCTTCTAGAATAGTTCATTCATAGTCATCGCTCAAGACAATTAATAGGTCAAAAAGATGGAATTTTTCCTTGTGCTTTTTTTCAAAATTGAGATTTTCAAAAATTACTTCTCGGCTTTGTTTTCAAGTAATAAACTTTTTTTCTGATCATATGATTTTTTTAATTCTCTTTTTCAAAAGCTCGAGAAAAATAATTTTTGACCAAATCACTGTTTTTTTCTTACTCACAATGAGGTCATTCTACTCAAAAACTTCGGATTTTTTTCGAAAAATTTCCCAGGAAACTCGTTGACTTGCTAGATTTAGATACTGGAAGTTTCAATCTGCCAAACTTCCTATTTTTTTGAGACCACTGCCTTCCTTTCCCACAAGGAGGCCACTTTACTCAAAAACTTCACATTTTTTTAAAAAAATCACGGAAAAAAATCTCAAATCTGCTTGATAAATTTTTAAAAACCATCCAGCTTGATAATCTTTCTATTTTTTTCGAGACTTCGAAATTCCAGTTTCTTGGCGAAACGGTCTTTGAATCGGAAAAATAGGACGTCATGAGTGTTTTTCTAGCCAATTTTCACAGATTTTTGAATCAAATGACCCTTTTTTTGTTTAAAAAAAGTATATTTTCAATTGATCAGAATGTTTTATCACTGCTACGTTTACAGCATAACGAAAATTTAGCTGATTTTAAAATTTTTCAAAAATCATTGCAGATTCCAAAAATTATTTTCCAAAAAAATAACTATTTTTTTAATACTTCTGGTAAAATGACCAGAAACTTTCTTCAAAAATTGTAGATCAGGTGGCAATAACTTATTTTTTTATTTTATGGACCGGAAAAAAATAAGTTTTGAAAAACTTGCTGATAAGCTAAGAAAAAAATAAATATTTCTTCAAAAAAACGTTTATTGATTTTGTCTGTAGTACCTTTTTTTCTCGAAATTAGGCCTCAATATAAGTGAAATAATTTATGAGAAATAGTAATACCATTACCATCCCTCCTGTGGAAAGTTTTCAAATAAACTATTTTAAAAAAAATTTTGAATTCCGATTCTATTTATAGTTGTAAACATGTCAAACTCCATTTTCTTCCAAATTCCAAAGAGTTCAAATTTCTTTTCTCAGGAAACAGATCTTGGTTCTTTAGACTTCCTTCTAGAATCTCATGTTTTTTTTAAAACTTTTTTTCTTCAAAAGGACATTTTTTTCCTATCATTTTGTACGATTTTTCAGCAACAATTTTCGCAGAATTTCATTATCAAAGCGGAAATCATTATCAGTTTATCAGGAAATTTCAACCGTTCCGAAATTTTCTCGATTTATTACTTTTTTTGGAAACTTTACGATAATTTTTTTGGTTTCTGATGGATTTTCCTTGATTGTTCAGTTATAAATTTAAGAAAGAAAAATAAGCTTTTTTTCTCGACTTTTTAGCTGTTCTTTTTGATAAAAAAACGGCGCACTTTTTCTAGTTTTGGCAATAGATTGCAAATAGAATCGGACATAAATATGAAGATTCCCACGACCGCCACAAAATAATTAACCAAACCTTCATTCCGGCTACAAATTTTCCGGGGGCCAAGTGCACTGGAAAAGGGAAAAGCTCCGGGTGAATAATAAAAAAAATATTCGAGAAGAAAAACGGTGACTCTTGCTGTTTTTATTGGATCATAAATCATGAGAATTTTCGGAGAGAAAATCGAAATTTCTTGGAAAAATAACGATTGGAAATGAATAAAAGAAGTCGTTGCTCATACTTTTGGACAAAAAAAAGGGATAGAAATGAATTGATAAGAAATGGTGACACCGATCGTTTTGAATCGAGAAAGAATTCGAGAAGAAAAAAAAAAATCGCGGAACAGTTTCTCAGACTTTTTTCCTTCTCCTCATCGATTTTAATTTCGAAATTGAACGTTTCGCTGCAAAAAAATTATAAACTTTCAATCTTTTACTGAGAATTTCACATGTTTCTTTTGAGAGTTTTCCTTATCTTAACCAGTTTTTCATGCAGTTTTTTTTCGACCTTCTTCTTTAAAGTTCTGTTTTTTATATAGTAGAGAAATGTTTGGAAAGAGTTCTGTATTAAAAGAAACAAATCATTTGCGAATTTTTCAAATTTAATTGTTTTGTAGACCAAAACGTTCACTTTCCTAACTTTATATGTAATGTATTTTTTTCTCAAATCCATCATTTTTTTTGAAGTTTAAGGTTTCTTGATAACCAGTCGCGTATCGGTTTTTTTCAAGTTGCGACCGACCAGAAACGGGTTGCGCGTTAGGCTATAAATAACTGTTGGAACGTTGCCGCAAACTAAAAAAAGACTATTTTTCTCAAAATTATAACTTTCTATTTGATAATAATAAGTTAAAAGTTTTAAAATTTCTTTTTTTCGCACTAAAACAATACAAATTTCAGCCGTAGGGGCTGGCATCAAAATTTTTTTTCACGAAGAAAATCTTTTCCCTGGTCAATTTACAATGGAACTTGGCTAAAGTTTTAAAGATAAATGAAAATTTCATAATATTTTATTTTTTGGAGATATGACGCTTTAAAGGGCCACTATAGAGGCTCGTCAAGGACTACTTGAAGAGGACACTAAAGTGGCCACTAAACCCACCTCTACAGTGGCCATTATTTTCTGTTTTAGTGGTCACTATAGAGGTTCTCTATTTAGTGGCCACTTCAGAAATTTTTCTTCCAGTATTCCTTCCGTAACTTTGATAAAACAAACAGATTGGACCAGTTATGATGACCCATTGACCCCTAAAGTGGCCACTAAAATTTTTAGTTCTCTAATAAGAGCACTGAGAGCTCTATAGTGATCACTAATTTTTAACCCCTTAAGTGGCCACTAATTTGACCACTATAGTGACCACTAAAACGTCAAAACCTTATAGTGGCCACTGAGAATTTTCCAGAATATTCAATTTTCACCATCTTCTTGTCCATTTCCGTGATCTTTCCATTCAAATCTCCCCCAAAAAAACGTCTTGCAGAAGAGAAGACGCATGTCGCCGCCCATGGAGACGTCGTCGTCGACGACGGTAGCATCCCGCGACTTCAAACTCGAATTCGACGTCGTCGTCCGCCTTCGTCACGCGTCGGAGGACCTTTCCGAAGTTCTCGGTGGGGGACTTTGGACTTTCACCAGCTGTTTATCACTTTCGCATTATTCGCAGTATTGTTCGTTTTTTCAGCCGTGACCTAATTGACAGGTAATTGAAAAATCAGCTCGATTTGTTGGACTTTTTTCGGGATTTTAATTAGGTCGTCTGTTCTATTTAATTAAGGTCGTCATCTTTGGAAGTACGGAAAACACTGGGAAAATTGGCTTTTTTGAATTTACTAAGATAAAAAAATAGTGTAAATTTTTATAGAAGCGAATATTTCTCCAAGCGTCGCGGTCGCGTAGCGGTTGCGCGTGCAAAGAACAATTTTTTGAATAGATCCGACTAAAAACTACTTGCGCCACTAGGCATTTTATGATATAGCGAGAAGTCGCTTCAAGTCGGGCGCAGCAATAGTTCAAGAACGAAAACTGGGTTTCATTTTCTGCTGCAAAACCGCAACGCAACCGCGACGCTTCAAGCCATTTCCTGTCAATAGAAAAAGTATCGTTTCGAATATACGTCCTTCTTGATTCGACCCAAGTCGAGACGGTTCGAAATGTCAAAAACTGGAAACAATGTAAAGGGTAGACCCTGCCGGGGGAGCACAAAAGAGCACACTGAGTCATACTGCCGCGTTGTAGGCCTTGATCTTTACTTTCTTTTCTTGGTTTGAACCGGGGAGTATTCTCGATTGATCCGTGATTTTTTTTATTGGTAGAATAGTTGCAATGACGACGAAAAAGTTGATTTTGAGCAAAATTTTGAGTTTTTAGTTCCCTTAAGCTAACACGGTAGAATCAAGAAAAGTGAAAAAAATAGTTTCAAATTTATTTCCTTGACTTTAAATCACAGGCATTTGCTCAAAACGTAATTCTGAATTTGAGGATGTTATTACACATGGATCAACGAAATGATATCGTTCATTCAGATTTTTAGGAAATTACAGAAACCTATAAATAAAGTTAAAAATGTCAAGGAAAATTTTTATCGGATCTTTTCCTTTTGAGTAGAAATCGGAACTTTTTTACATCCAATTTTCTAAACATGGAGAATGAATCGAAGCTTAACGGCTGGAGAGCGTTTTTTGACATGCGCCCGACCTGAAACGACTCGCGCGTTCTAGCATCGAAAATCAGTAGCGCAAGGTTTCTTTGCAATAATTCGTGGCGTTCTGAGCTGACAGCTCATTTTTCCTCAAATCAAAGCGGATTTCCAAAAAAGGTCATATTTTTGAATACAAGTTCGAAAGACACTCTTATTGATTGAAAAGATCGATTATTGATTTTCTCCAATTTTTTCCAGAAGAGCCAGTCCTGACACATCGACTCGTCCTGTCGTCGTACTCGCCGTTCTTCCGTCAGCTTCTGGCGCATTCCGACGAGAAGATGACGTCGATCGACGTCGACCTCACCCATTTGCCCAACGCCCTCCACGCCTTCAAATCCATGATCTCGGCTCTCTATTCTGGAGACGTCAGCTTCGACAAGGCACAGCCTTCTGAGGTCAGCGGATTCTGAGAAAGCGCAGTGGTTATGGCTAGGAAGGTCGCTGGATCGATTCCTTACCTTGAATCTTTGATGGAACTTTTTTGGTGTGAACTTTGGGTCGTCCAGGTTTTAGAACGAGAAAGAATTTTTTCTTTTTAGAGTTACAAAGCTTCAAAATAATAAAAATAGCGATTTTACTTGTTTTTTTTTATTTGGCGTACATCCCAGACCAATATTCGAAAATAAGGACTATCGAAAAAATTCCTTTTTTTAGGGGTCTCGAAGTAAATTCTCAAAAAGTTCTACCTGGAGCTGAGAGGTTTTTTATACTGAAAAAAAAAGTGTTTCGATCCGGGGAAATTTTCAGGGGTCACTTTAGGGTTTTGACGTTTGAGAGGCCACTATAGTAGTCAAATTAGTGGCCGCTTAAGAGGTTGAAAATTAGTGGCCACTTAAGGAGTCTAAGTGCTACTACGAGACCACAAAAAATTTTAGTAGCCACTTTAGGGGTCAATGGATCAAAATAACTGGTCCAATCTGTTTGTTTTAAAATTATCAGAGTTACTGGAAGGAATACTGGATGAAAAACTACTGAAGTGACCACTAAAACGATAAATAGTGGCCACTTTAGGGTCCTCTCCAAGTAGTCCTCGAAGAACTACTCGAGTGGCCACTAGAAATTCCCCCAAATGCTCATGGAATTTTTTATTCATCCTAACGGTTCGATGGAGGCTTAGCTTTATTTTCTGTATATACCTGATTTTTTCAATTTTTCGGCCGAAAAAAAAACATAGATCTTTCAATGCATCACTCTTATTACGGTAACTCAATTCGCCGTCAAGTTCTCGGCCAATTGAGTTATGAATCATTTCCAGGGCAACAATAATCCCGAATAAATCAGTTTCGAGTTGAGTTCCATTTTCTTTGGAACGTGAATGACGTTTAATAAATGAAGTTAGTTTCAAAATTACTTTCGAATAAATGAAATGTTTTGAATATAGGTTTCCTGTTGAAAGTGTCTACAATTTAAAAAAATTGGAGCAAAAAAAGACGGTTGAAAATTCGTGAAAGTGCGTCTAAATTTATTACAAAAAAAGAAAAAAATTTCGGTTTGATTTTTTTCGTCCAAATTTTCGAAATTCCGGCATTTCCTTGTAGGCGGGCTTATTCTTGGAAAAATAGTTTTGGATAATATCAAAAAAAGTATAAGTTTCCTGTTTCAGTGAATATTCAAAAAAATTTATAAACACATCTGAATTTCGGTGCATGGTTGTTATCGAAGCGTTGCGAACGAAAAAAGTCTTACCAAATATTTAAAGGCGCAGGGCGGAGCTTGAACGTTTTGACCCCATTTAATTTGTGTGTAAAATCGAAAAAAAAAATTGAAAAGTTCCTAAATTTTGTAGGTGTTAGCAGTGTGCCGCGCATGCCAAGTCCCGTCGATCGAATCGAAAGTTCTGACGTCATCGGTTGTTGACGTCACGAAAATGGTGAAACAGGAAACCGTGGAAAGAACCCAACCGTTGGATCTCTCACAGGCTTCAAATAACGGTGAGTTATGATTTTTTTAGCGATGGGGCGCACTTTCGCGAATGTGAAAGTAATTTATGAGTTTTTTTTTCGAGTCGTTAAATAGTTTCTATATTTTTAGTTTTTTTTTTCTTTCCGAAATTTTTTATTCTTAATGACTGTAACAGGTTAGAGGACAGTTCTTTAAAAATTTTAGAACCAAAGAAAAAAAAAGCGTCGCGTCCTAAAAAAGTGCGACCGACTGTAAACCGACTTGCGCGCCTTGGCATTAAAACTGCGAGATTTCACGTTTCGAACTAGGACCGCAGCGCTCAAGAGCCATTCCAAATGCGGACAGGAAATAAAAATCGCTTCAAATCGAGGATTTTATCGTGGGAAAAAAAATAATGAAGCTCAACATTTTATAATGAAAATTGTATTGACAGGGTTTGAGACTGCAAAGAAGATCAAAAAACAAGAAAAAAATTTTTTTAAAAATAAATAATGTGAAACAGTGAACTCTGGAAAAAAATTTTTATTTTTCTAAACTAACGATCAAAAAAAGTATGACTTTTTTTCACGCCCTTTGCGTCAAAAAAATAGTTTTTCAAACGGAATAAGGAGAAATAATTTGATAAAATCCCGCCCACATCATTCATTTTTCTATTCCAGTGATCCGTTTCGTGTAGTAGACACTCTTTGCCCTTCAAAAAACCACTTTTTCTCCTGACATTTTCCCGATTTTCGCAACTTTTTCCAAATGTCAACTTCTCCAGAAACTCGGTAACGGACAAACATTGTTAACGAGAAGGAAAATGGGTGGAGATTCCCTGAAATGAACGACATTTTTTCAGCTGTCCGTTTCACAAGTTGTGGGCTCGGAATGACATTTGTGTGTTGCGAGTTCAATCTAGAAACTCTCCGCCTTCTTCTTCTTTTTTTCGAGTTTTCTTTTGCACATGTCCAGTAAACTTTTGCCTTTCTTAAGGAGTTTCATTAAAAAGTTTCAAAAAAATTTAACTTTGTTTGATTTTTTTAATCTTCTAATAAAGCCAAAAAAACGACAATAGTGGTGCGGGAAAAGCTCGTCGCTTCAGAATTTTTATCCAGTTTTACTATGCCTTTTTCAATTTTCCGCCAAGAAGTTTCAAATAGAACTACAAAATTTTAAGGCTTTTTTTGCCTTTGACCTTGAATTCATTGATGTTTCTAGCTGTTGAACTTGAATATTCGAGAAATTAAATCGGAGAAAAAAGAGCATTTATACTGAAAAAGCCTCTTGGAGAAGTAGGACTCAAAAATTTCTAAAAATAAATGAAAAAAATCATCTATTTTAGCTCTTTAAATTGCATTTGTCTTGATAAGCTCTTAAAAAAAGCTCTGAAAAAGTTCTCAAAAAAATTCAATTTTTTTATAATTTATTCAGCAGATCTCCTTTGTAAAAATCAGAAAAACATTTAATTTACAAAAAGGAAAAATTGAACTTTGAACCCGTTCTGAGTCCTTAAAATATTTTTTTTAAAAAAATAATCGATTGATACATCAGTTTACTGGTTCAAAAACCATACCTAAAGAGGCGATATTTGCAGCGCAGGACTATTTCCACGCGATGACGTCACTCTGGCTGAGTGCCCAGAGTCATCCGCTGATGAACGCCTTCTTCTCGGCTCCCTTCATCGCCACGCCCACTTCTCCGATCGTCGTCGACGACGCCGTCGCCAGCAGGTTTTCAGATCATTTCGAGGCGGGAAAATGGATTTTTAAAATTTTAATCCTTTCTCTAATAGTCTTTTCATCTTATTGATTTGAAAATGTCACAAAAAAATTTGGCATAAAATGAATTTCCGGGCAATGGATGCGTTGAACAGAAAAGCTGACTTTAATATAGGAAGGCTAGAAAAAAATCTCCAGAAATGGTGAAAATTCAACTTTTGGGTCAATTTGAGCGAATCGCACAAATCTCGAAAAATCAGGCAGAAATCTGAGTTTTGGACCTAGATAGTTGGAAAAAAAAAATTCATTCTCAATTTTGTAAGGTATCGACTTCAATTTAGAAAGATGACTTGGGGAATGACCCTTAAAAATTGGTTGCTGGTTTTTTTTTTGATGTAAATGAACCAACTTGTATTGATTTTGAAGTTAAAAGAAATATGAAAAAAACCCAATTTGAGCATTTGCAGAGCTCAAAGCGAGAGCCAGAGCTCGGGCTCATCACCTCGGGCCAACTCTGTGACCACGCCCCCTTCCAGTGCGGATAATGAGAAGATCGTTCCCAACGATGATAAGGAAGGTGAGAGGGTCAGAAAAAAGTTAAAGTTGTCAATTTATTCTATAAATTTAATTTATGAGGTCTTTTTTGTCGAAATAATGATCGAAATTTTCAATTTTCACGCTTTCCGCCAAACATTTTCCAAAAAAAACGGTTTTCTCTGCGCCCTCTTTTCTCTCGCCTGTCTTGAGAGAGGAAGGAGAGCGCAGACAGACCAGAGAAGAGAGATCTTATTTTTGATTTGAGAAGTGAGAATGTCAAAAAAGTTTTAAAGTTATCGATTTTTGAATCATTCCGATCAATAGGTAGTTTTTATTGGAGTAATGACCGAAATTTTGAAATTTCTCCCTTTTTGCCGAAAATTTCTCTGCGCCCTCTCCTCTCTCGCCAGTCTCGAGAGAGGGAGGAGAGCGCAGACAGGTCAGAGAAAATCATTCCTAATGATGATGGAAGGTGAGGAAGTCGAAAAAAATGTTTTTGAGATGATTATTTTTTTAAAAATAATAAATAATTAAATTGTCAAACTTTCGGAATCATAATTTTTTCACGGTTTTCAGAGAAAGTTCTTTAATTTTTTTTTCGAGAGAGATATAGTAAGAGATCCCAGACAGGTTAGACGGTTAAAGAAAGTTTATACAAGAAGAAACGCTCTTTTTCGAATACAAAAAGCATTTTTCTGAGTTTTGGGCTTGAACTTGTGACCTTCTGAACAATTCCCGAGCCCAGAACTCACTAGGCTACGATTTTATTCAAAAAAATTATTAAAAAGAAAAAAATTTCGCTCAGGCTGGTGCCGCAACAAGAAGTACATCGAGAAGGTCGAAGGCGGCTTCATGTGCACGGTCTGCCGCAAAATCTACGGTAGATACAACTCTGTCTCCTACCACGTCACCATCTACCACCGTAACCCGCCGATTCGGTACGAGACCCGTTTTATTTGAGGATAACTTAAGAAATCTGCAGGTGCGACGAAAACGGCTGCAATTTCTCGACTCGCGAAGCGCGCTACATCCATTTCCACAAGTATTATCGACATCATACGCCTCTCCCCGAAAATATCGATCTGGGTTCGTTCTATGAAATCCCTGAAACTTAGAGACCGGTTGAAAAGAGTGAACGGAAACTGGGAAACTAAGGAAAAATAGGGTTTTTCGTGCGGCTCCTTTTTTCCTGAACTTGGACAACTGGGAACATTTTTAGTGGCCACTATAGGGTTTTGACGTTTTAGTGGCCCCACAGTAGTCAAATTAGTGGCCACTTAAGGGGTCGAAAAATTGGTGGTTACTATAGAGGTCTGAGTGCAACTACGAGACCACTTAAAATTTAAGTGGCCACTTTAGGGGTCAATGGATCAACAGTAGAAAAGTAGAGAAAAAAACAAACAAAAAAAATTGATTTTTCGGTTTTTTTCGATCATTAGCCGTGGAGCGCACAAGTCTTTACATTTCAATCGCCATTTTTCAAGTTTGATTTAGAGTGGGTCTTTTGAGGTATTTTGAAGAGAATATTGACGGGCTGAAGTTACGGTATGTTGTGTTTCAGGGTCGCGAAAGTGTCCATTCTGCAGACACGTCTCGAAAAGTCCGGCGATGCTGGAGAAGCACATCACACGGCATGAGAACGACGGGACCAAGAAGGCCAAAGAAGCTATGAAGTTGGTTTTTTTTGATTGGATAAAAACGAAAAAAGGCCCATTTTCTAAGGATTCGAAAATTTTATCTTTTTGCCTCGACTTCAACATGTTAGTCCGACTTGTCTGCGCTCTCTTGTCTCTCAACAGTATTACGAAGAGAAAAACTTAGTTAGAGATAAGTGAGAGAAAAGAGAGCCCAGACAGGCTAGAATTCATCAAAATACATTTTCTGACTTGTCTGCGCTTTCTTATCCCTCAACAGTATTACGAAGAGATAAAAATCGCTAAGTTAGACAGTAGTGAGAGAAAAGAGAGCCCAGACAGGCTAGAATTCATCAAAATTCATTTTCTGACTTGTCTGCGCTCTCTTATCCCTCAATAGTGTTATGAGAAAAAAATAGTCTTTAAGTTAGAGAGAAAGGAAGGTCCAGACAAGTTAGAGGGTTTTTAAAGGAACTTAGGAAGCAGGACTCTTCTTATTTCAAAATTTTAACAAGAACTCATCCAGTTTGCATCCTACCGTAACCCATCCTCAAAGAAAAAAAAAAGTGACGAGTGTTTTTCGCGAACTCCTTCAAAACGCTACGATATTCCGGTGAAACACGTGTTTTTCTCGCCACACAGAAATATTCTTTCGCGAGGTTGTTTTGGCCGCGAAAAAAATGAGAAGGAAAGATAAGGAGAACCCCATATTCTTCGCATTTTCGAGTCGTCTCCCACGTGAACCTCAGTGTTTACCGTCCCATCGACGAAATTTGTGTCGAAACGGGAAAATGGTCTTCGCTTCTGTTTTCGGCCACAAGAGCCCTTTTCTCGCTTCCCAAATGAGAGACCAGCATCAGGAAAACAAGAAATTTGTGTTTAGGAACTGTCGAGACGTTTCTTAAGTTTATTAAAGTATGAAAATTTCGTTTTTAAGTTGGAGGCTTTGATATCCATCAGAATTTTCTCAGATTTTGTCAGAAAGGTCTTCAAATTTGAGGCTACTTTAGTAGCGTCAGCACTTAAGTGATCCCTAGAATCGCACAGAAATGTCCGGTTTTCGTTGTCCAGATCCGAGTAGATCCTAAGGGGGGCGGCGGAGCTTGAGATCATTCTCCTGTTGTTCTATTCTTTTTATAATGTTTAGATTTTCCAAAAAAATTATTAGTAAAAAGTAGTTCGACTGAATAACAACAGATATGAAAAACAGACTTTTTTGACCGTCGATTTGTTTTTTGAATCTCAAACTTGATATACTTGACTTCTTTTTGTTATTTGAGAAACTGAAGCTTTGATGGAATTTTATGCTGAAAATTTTTTTTAAGTTTACAGAGAGAAGAATGATTTAAGAAAGGGTTCCCCTCTAGGGACCACTTCACTTCCCACCGAAGCCTTAGACCCTGAAAACCTTCTATTGATCACATATTTAGTCCTTGTAGGACGCACTTATTTTACTCTAACTCCTATAGGGACCACTCTGTGGTTCCTAAGCTTGAAACCATACCGTCATAAGACTTAAATCTACCGATCAACGAAAAATAATCAATATTCCTTTTTCAGACAACTCAAGCCGAAGCCGCTTTCGGACCGACGCATCCGCTCCGACCCGGGCCTCCCGCTGACGCCGCCGGGAGTCCTTCTCCCGCCGCCGATCCCCCTCAAGTGCACACTCTGCCCCTTCAGCACGGGCGGCGCCGACGCCCTCTTCCTGCATCTGGCGACGTGCCACGCCGCCGAACTCAGCCAATTGGCGGCTTCCGTCGACTTCCAGACGCCGTCGCTGCTCCCGAACATCAGCGCCAAGCCGTTGATGAACGACGGCCTCGCCGTGCTGCCTCTTCAAGTCGACGCCACTATTTGAATTGTTTTTTTCTGGGTTCTGTGAAGATGAAGCTGTGACAAGTGAGAAAAGTCAAAAATAGATTGATTTTCGAGGACAATTATTAGAAGTGATGGGTCTTAAAGATCCACGAATTCTGATTCCAAATCGGTTTCTGTATCTTTTCCTCTTCTCAAGCCCTTTTTATGAACTTTCTAAAATTCAAATTGAGTGAGTGAAGCTTAATTTACTTTCCCATGAATACAGACCTCTGTAAAAGAAGAAAAAAACTTTTTTTTTTGTATTTTTTCCATCAAAAATAACTTTTAAAAGTCATTAAAAGCCCAATTTCGAGCTGTTCTCCTAAAGAAGACAGGGCTCAATTTTCACAGCTTCATTTTTGTATTTTTAACCTGTTTTGACCCCGGTATCCATTTTCCGGTCTTTGTTGATTGTGAACCGGTTTTTTTTTTACTTTTTAAGGCCATATTCATTATTTTCAACGGTCCATGAATGGACTTGAAACTTATTCATTTTTTCTTTGTTTTTTAGCCCTTCTTTTCCGCATAATCTCAAGTAACTTTCGATCAAAATTCTTAAAATTTTCTCATTTTGGGCCGGTGTTTCCCTCTCCACACGACCCAGTGCCTTATCCTCTGCCAATACCTGAAAAATTCCCTTCCCCCCGTACCCTATTTATTGTACTGCCATCTGAAAAAAAACCGTCTAGAACCTACGAAAAAGTACCCTGAAGCAACTTTCCTCAATGACGTAAGACTCCCAACCTCTCACCTATTTTCCGACGGGCGTGTCTCCGCTTTTTCTCAGTACCTAGGGCTTTAGCTTCTCCTCCCGAAATGGTGATATTTCCCGTACGCCGCCTTCATTTTTCGCCTTTCACTCAATTTTTCTTTTTTGAAGCCTTTGACCAATTTTTCTGGAATATTTTTTTTCGTGTTGATAAAGACTCAAAAGTCATTCACAAAATGAGAAGGTACCAGTGAAAACATCGGGAAATTCAACAAAAAAGTAACAATTCGAATAAAAAATGAATTAATCATTGCATTCAAAGTCCCATTTGAACTGCCGCGTGAGGTAGGCTTTGAACTGAGCCGATTTCCGTTTCAGGTTCTCCGGGGCGTGTGCAGAGTCTGGAAACAGAACACTTTTGCGGAAATTTCTAAATTCAAAAAAAAAGAAAGTTAAAATTTCCTTTTTCATCTTATGAAAACCTCACTTTTCACTGAAAACATTCGATAATAACCTTTGAAGGTGATTCAAATGCCTCATCGAAACAAAAAGAGACTGAATCAAATAAATAAAAAGATTGCAACAGGAAAGTGAGGTCAAAATGGTTTTTAAAAAGATGTTATACGGCTAATTTCCGAGAAATTCTTACTTTCTGGCATTTGTTGAGGAATAGAATGATTCCCATTAATTTTGATAAAAGTTGGAAAAAAAACCTTCCTAATAAAAAAGATCATAAAAACTATAATTAAACTTTTTTTTAAAATTTCACTTCCTACGGCTGTTTTCCGAGCTTTTATTTCGAGAATAATTTGATAATTCAAGTATTCTTATAGCCCCAGGATAAGTTTTGAAAAACACAGTTAGGATCGCAGGAAAGCACGTAGAATGACTGAAAATTGAATGATCCACGCGCCCGACTTAAAACGGTTTGCGCGCGGGAAAACTATAAGCAGTAAAAAAAGTTCATTTCGAGCCATTCCACGTGCGACCGCAGCGTTTAAAATTCAAAAAAAAAAAGCTTAATTATGATTTGGGGCGACCGACTCGAAACGGCTTGCGAGCAGATGCATGTGATATTGCTGCTAGAAATCAAGTTACCAAAAAAAATTTTGAAAAATCTGATTCCAACCGAAACGTTTCAAGCCATTCCACGTGCGACCAGGAATTCGAAATGAAAAAAAAAACTCAACTATGACCAAAAACTTTTTTCTCCGTTATTTTTTTCATTGCTACCCATTTTCCAAGTCATTTTCTAACCTGACTTTCAAAATTTCCCCTCGTTTCTCACCTTGAATCTGGTGCGACCGACTCAAAACGGTTTGCGAGAAGAAGCATGAAATATAGCAAAATAAAGCCGAATGGGAAGTATAATTCAATCGCAACGTCTTGAGTCATTCCAAATGCGGCCAGAGCGTTTAGAAGAGAGAAAAAAAAAACTCGGAAAAAGTTTGGAACCCTCTTTTTTGCGCTATTTTAATCATGCTACCCATTTTCCAGTTATTTTCTCAACCAATTTCCAAAATTCCTTCATTTCTCACCTCGAACATTGGCGAAGAACATGGACAAGGTGGTGGTGAGGAAATTGTCCCTGGAAACGATGTCGACGAAAAAATCCGACGGACATTCCTTCAGTTGGAAGAACAGCACCTGCAGATTTCCTGACCTTTTCTCATTTTTCGGCAACAAAGTCTATTTCCGCAGAAAGGACAAGTTCGTCGAGGAGGAGAAGAAAAGTGCAGGGAAGACTTTTGGGAAAACATTCGGGCTATAAAGGAAATTCTGACCTTTTATTTTTTACTTCTTGGAACAAGATTATGAGCGCAAAGTTTCTATTCCTTCTTTGAAGCTAGGAAAAGTTTTAGTGGGCACTATAGGGTCTTGAAGTTTTAGTGGCCACTATAGTAGTCAAATTAGTGGCCACTTTAGGGTTCTAAGTGCAACTACTGGACCACTAAAAATTTTAGTGGCCACTTTAGGGTCAATGGATCAACATAACTGGTTCAATCTGTTTGTTTTAAAATTATTAGAGTTACTGGAAGGAATACTGGATGAAAAACTACTGAAGTGGCCAATAAATAGAGAACCACTGTAGTGGCCCCTTAAACGGAAAATAGAGGCCACTATAGAGATGGGTTTAGTGGCCACTTTAGTGTCTTCTCTAAGTCCTTGGCCAGCCTCTATAGTGGCCACTAAAAATTTTCCCAGGTAATGCTGGAAAATTAGGTGAGAGGCGTGGCCTGTCTGCGCTCTCCACGAGCCAGGCACAGTCTCGTGCATAAATCGGATGTGAAATTTGGCATCCAAAAAAGTCAATTTCACGATGAAAATATGAATATTTCGACGTTATTTTTTTAAAGAAACCTAGTTCAGATTTTGCGACTTCGAAGACATTATTAAAATTCCAAGAGTTGAATATGAAAATCCTCACCCTCACAAACGCCAGGAACATTTCGGACCGGGCTCCGAGAGAATTTGGACAACAGCATAATAAGTGAATCAGCCGTTTCCACTGCTCAAAACCTTCGAAAACCTGCAAAAAGATCTTTTTTTTTCAGAATTTTTTGAAGCTTGATTTAAGATATAGTCGATTCACGGCTAGCTTGGGAATCTAAGGGGCGTGGCCTGTCTGCACTCTCCACTAATCAAGCACTGTCTATTTTCTTATCGTGCCAGGACTCTTCTTTTATGACTAATCAATTGGTAATCAGCTATAATTTCTCTCCCAGGTGTAGTTTTTCACGCTGATTCCAAATCTGGTCTCAAAAATTGCCGCGGAGGTTTGTGGAAAAAGTTATGGACCCTTAAAAGTCGAAAATGCGGAGTCTCTGATTGAGCTTCTTTTCGAGGGTTCATAGTTGTTTCTCTAGTCAAGAGAAAATATTTCTCCTCAAAAAATGGAAAAAAATTGGACTTTTAAGACCAAAAACATCGAAACTTTGGACCCCCTAACATTTTTACCAGGCCTTGGAGGCCGTTTCTAAGACTAGATTTGGAATCAGCCTAAAAAACTAGATTTAGAAAATCTGGTCTCATCCAGAATGAAGACCATACTGTAGTCAGTTATTAGGCTGAAATTTCCCTTATGACTTTCTACGAAAAATTGGAAGATCGAAGCATAGGCGCATGTAGCGCGACAGGTTGTGTGCCTGTCTATAGTTCATAGGATCGCAAGTTCAATCCCCGCCGCTGCCAGGTATTTTTGATAACTTCAAAAACTCCTAACTTAGGCTAGCGATTTTCAAAATTAAAGAAAATGGAACCACATTATCAGAAAAATTCACTCAATCTTCCTAGGAACCCTCAGGAAACCTCAAATGAACTCAAAAACTCTTCCTACACCTTTTTTTAAAATTGTACCAAAAATGTTGGTAACCACGACTTCAAGATTATCAGAACCCGTCAGAAGAAGAATTTCTGAGAAGATAAAGAAAGTTGGAACCTGTCCAATGAGGAAGCAGACGAAGGCGATTTGGAGTTCTGCCAAAAGTTGCTTCCAATCTTCGCCAAATTGTCGAAGAAGCGAATTTAGACGATCCGAATGTTCGATCCCTATTCGGGCCATGTCTGCCTGGAAAATCGACATTTTCATCCTGGTAGTATCCTTATAAGTCTCGAAACAATTCAGAAAGTATCAAAATTTTAAAATATCGTTTAAAATGCATAAAATGTGAGTAGACTAAAATTAAGAGTTAAAAAAAAATGAAAACAAAAACGACAAATTTATTTTTGATGGTTGGATTTATCAGCGGTGAAGCTACGAAAAAATTGAAGGATCGACAAATACATTTATTGAAACGGGAATATGAAGAAATGATCTGATTTCTCGATAAATGTGAAAAAAACAAACTCTGAGCTGAGGAATGTCCTGGAATCTTATTTCGTAGCCTTCCCGGATTTGCATGATCGGCAGGCCATTCTGATCGACGAAACGGGTCCTGACGGGATGATCCCGGTCGACTCTGTTGCTGCCGGCTCCTTCGATCCTCAACTTCAAGGCCAAAATGTCGAAAAAGTACTATTTTTCCCACAAGGAGGTCATTTCACTTTGGGAGTTTTATGAAACTTGGTCAGATTACTCCTTGATGTACCAAAATGATGTTCGGAAAATGTCAATTTGCAAAACTTGATAGTTTCCGAGAAAGGGCACCTCAAAGTCAGAGAGAACCGTCGAAATCCATCAAAATAGGTTATTGTGAGCTTTTAAATCATCGAAATTTCTCAAAATGGGCCGTTTTGAACCATGAAAACCTTCAAAATTCATCGAAATCGGCCAATTGAGACATCAAAGTTGTCAAAATCAATGAAAACAGGCCATTTTTTGCCATCAAAATCGTCAAAATTCATTAAAAACATGCCATTTTAAGCTTTTGAAAACACGAAATACTTAAAAATAGGCCGTTTGAGCCATCAAAACCGTCGAAAATCATAGAAATAGGCCATTTTGTGCCTTCAAAACTGTCAAAATCGATTAAAATTGTCAAAAAATTTTTAGCTTTTAAAATAACTGAAATTCGTGAATATAGGCCATTTTTTCCATCAAAATCGTCAAAAATCGTCAAAAAATTAAAAGACCATCATTTTTTCCTTGAAGACTAATCTGACCTTTTATTTTATTCCCAAGTGAAATGACCCTCCTGATCAACTGAAACCTCCTTATTTTCCATGACTTTTGTCTCGAGGCTCACTAGTTCTGCCTGTGCTGTGATTCTTCCCTTCAGTGGTTGGACTCTACAAAATTTTCCTTATTTTTTATTTATTTCAATTCCAAGTGTATGAAAAACCTAAATAACACTGAAAACGGCTCTTCGCTTCGAGACCTTCAATTGTACAAAACTAACAACAAACTTTTCTCAGATTTTTCGTGGCCAAACTCAACAGCTGCGCCCAAGTTTTGATTAATGAACTTTCCGAAAAAATACAGCTTTTCCATTTTTTTTTCTCGATTTTCTTCCAAATTTCTATGTGGTAACTTCAAAAGGACACTTAAAATAAAAGTAAAAAATCCGATACTCTGAAATTCTAAAGAAAACTTATTTAATTTTCAGCCTTGAAACTCCTTATCCAATCAGGCTTTCAGGGAAGATATTAGGAAAAAAAAATCTAGAACCTTCGTTGAAAATTGATAATATAATACTTTCAAGCTAAGGATTAATTTTTTTTAAGTAAGTTCACAAATCCGACTTTCATTGTTCAAAAAAGCCTGAAAAATTTTTATAAATATATTGAAGCCGTAATCCATTTTTGAGTTATTCAAGGGAATGCAAAACTTTGCGCCGTTTAAAAGGACTATACGGAAAACGAAAAATATAATTTTTTTCGAGAAAAAAATTTCAAAAACATCACTGATTGCTGTATTGAAATTGTTCTTCTCGTTTTCATCTGTAAAAAAATAATTCGAACCGTTCAACAGTTGTCGGCGTAACAAAATCGGTCAGAGCGTACCAACTTCGATAGTTTTCATATGGATACGGCGCCAAATTCGAATCCAAAGACTTCAACTGATTTCTCTTCTCTTTTATATCCTTAAACTCCAACTCAAATAAATTTAACCCATTCAATAAACTAACATCTTCAGTGACAACTTCATCGCAGAAATCTTCCTTTTGTCGATCCCACTTTTTCACCAAAATGTCGCCCGATTTGAACGTGTGAAAAAATCCTAGAACTTTTTCCATTATCAAATGGAAACAATTTCAATCAAACCGATCCTTGGCATTCCCCGGATACTGCAATACACGAAATGAACTCCAGGCGGTATCATTTTCAATCCTTTGAACTTTTCGCCGGTTTTCCAAGACTTGTAGTCGATTCCAAACTCGGAACCTTCGGGAAAATTCAGGAAGAGCTTAAAAAGAACATGAATTTAATTAAATAATGAACAACTCACTAAAAAACCGCCATTCTCGTACATGTAGTTGACTACATTCATGGGAAGTTCGTCGCCATTTTTCAAAGAATTCAGAATACTCGCAACCGCTGCCATGACTTCACCTTAACCGTGGATACTTGTAGAACAAATGGAGCGTTCTAGAAAGCCCGAAATAATTCAAAAGTTCAGTTAGACAAGAAATTTGCATAAAAAAAGATAGAAGAAAAATAGAAAAGATTAAGAAAAAAATTTCGAAATTTTTTTATTTTAAAAAAATGACACGGAAAAACGCGCGCCAACCGGTGGTTGAGTGCTCTCAAGGGGTCACTCAGGAGCCGTTTTTCAATATTTACGCAGTTTTCGGCTCCTTTTTAAAATTTCCCTTTTTGGAATTTTAATTTTTCTAAGTGATTGTGTTCCCGAAACTTCGAAAACTTTTTTCATAAGAAATAACACTTCATAAGAAAACTGAGAGATTCGACGGCTAATCGTTGTTTGTTTTATTTCTTCTAAAATCGCTTTTTAATTTTATTTGTTTCAGGTCTATCTCATGAGTCAAGAAAAGGCTCCCGGAGATGGGAGCCGCATCGAACCTAATCCTGAAGCAAGTGCCAGAAAACAGAGTCCTCTAAACCAGCCGACCGCTCAGAAATCGTGCAGCTCCCACAAAACGGACGTACCTGTGGAGGCCCTTTTCAAATATGCCAGCATTGGTTTCTTGTTTTCAATAAGAAATAAACAAAAATAAACGTTTCAGGTGGTGGAAGGCCTAAGCCGAAGACGTTTCCTAGTGAGTTATAATGTAGAATTTGAATTTATTCTGAAGTTTCAGCCCCAAGGCCGGCGCCAATGAACACACTCTCGATGGAACATGCGACGGAAGTGCGAAGGATGACGAGAATTCCGAATTGGAAACGAGATTATGATGGTTTTGAGATGATATTTCTGAAAAATATGTATTTTTTTGAAGGACCTCCACAAAATCCTCGCTGGAATCAGGGCTACAATCAGAGTCGGTTTTTTTATTTCTAGGCTTTTTTTCTCTATTTTATTTGAAATTTCTATACCAAGTAGTTGAAATTTGTGCATTATTTTTTACTGCGACGTTTAAAGGATCATAAGCTAGTTCAATAAAGATTTTTAAGGCGAAAAGGGGTTTTCAAAAATTTTTTATTTCTTTCTGCGCCTTTGAACGTTTTTTTAAACGATTTTCGGTTAGGGCAAAAGGGTTGGCAAGTGAGAGAGTGTAGAGCTGAGGAGAGGGCAGACGAAGGGATTCCTGCGTCTCTTCGGCTCCCGTTGATCTCTAGCTTGCTTTGAGAGATTTTGAGAACTAACATAACTTTTTTTAACAGGTTTTTTGTCATTTTCATTTAATTTTTCTCTGAAAAATCCACTAATGTCTTCCGAAAATCTAAGACCCATTCTTCATAAGCGGGCTCAACAAGGTACGCCCGCTGAGAGCCCGTCTGACGAGAGTTTCAGCCGAGAAAAAAAAAATCAGATTTCACCATCATTTTTTTGCAAAAAGGTACTAGGTTTTAATTCGAATTGTACTGGGAAAATTTTTAGAGGCCACTATAGGGTTTTGACGTTCTATTGGTCACTATAGTAGCCAAAATAGTGGCCACTTGAGGAGTTAAAAGTTAGTGGCCACTATAGAGGTCTATGTTCTACTACTAGATCACTAAAAATTTTAGTGGCCCTTATTGAGGTAAAGATCAGAATTTATCGGATCTAAATATCATTTTTCTGCTTCAAGACGAACCCCCGCCGATTTTCTTCAACCCTCCACGTCATCATTCTCTCCCAACGACCCATATCCGCTACGAGAAGAACAAGCACACGACCAACATCGCCGAAAAGGAAAAGGCGACTTTGATGCTCCGGAAAGCCGCCGCAGAAAGTCCCCTCGAGGAGCTTCCGGAGATCCCCCACCCGTTGGTTTTATGAATGAAAAAAGGGAATGTCTCTGGTCCTAGTGGGACTTCCGATTGAGAATATTTTACTAGATGTTGGGGTCAGGCCCTTTAGGGATCATCTAAACTTTACATTTAAAGGGACACCTTTTAGTCCTCTATCGGATCTCTTTTCTCCCCTAACCCTTATAAGGGTCACTCTGGCGTTTCTAAGATGGTCTCTGAACGCAGTGGGACTTCCGATTGAGACCAAGTAGACTAGATGTTGGGACCAGAGTCTAAACCCCTATAGGGATCATTTAAATTTTGCCCCTAAAGAGGCACTTTTCTCCCCTGCTCTTATAGAGACCACTCTGGCGTTTCTAAGATAGTCTCTGGTCGCAGTGGGACCTATCAAGGATAATAAGTTCACTATAGCTTGTGCGGATAATTTTGAGCCACCCTGCATGTAGTTTTTCATTCCAAATCCAGTCTCAAAAACTGCCGCGGAGATCTATAAAAAAAAGTTAAGGAACAACAAAAGTCGGGAATTTCAATGTCCCGATTGAGTTTTTTAGCACACACAGAATATGACGTCAAATCAATATTCCGAGAATTTTTTTTCCTATTTAATGGGCGTTTGAAAATGCAACGTCAAGAAACTTTTAAATATCCTTTTTTCAATGTTCTTGAACCGGTTTCTTATTTACATACCTACTTTTTTTGTTTTATTTTTAGGCTGAGGGAAAAAGAACCTCGAAAAAGCAAAAAAAGTTAGTTTTGGAGGGTCTTTCGAGCTCAATATTCAGAAATCCAGCCTTAAAAACTTGAAAACAAGTTGAAATGATAATAATATCTTAACTTTCTTTTGAGAGCTTCCACGCTATAAAACTGTATAAAATTCCACACAATAATTTTGAAGGGACATCGAAATGACGACGACGGTAAAAGTTCTGGTTCCAGTAGAAGAATACAGCGGCGCCAACATTGCTGTATTGACTGAAAAATTACTTGAAAGGGTTCGTTTTGGGGGGTTTTTTGCTACAGGAACTTTAAATATCACCCAGAATCATTTTCAAGTTTTTAACTGATAGAAATTTAGAATTTACAACCATTTTCGATGATTTTGGAGAGAAGTACGGAAATAAATTCAATTTTTTCGGAAACAGAGCCTCGAATCGATTTTTTTTTCTATGTTATTTAAGGTCTTTACAAATTTTTCAGCCTTTTTTCCTCAGTCTGAGATTTTTTTTTCGATTGAAAGTTTCTTGAAAAACTGTAACAAGATATCATTAGAGAAGTAAAGAGGTCCTGATAGTTTTGAGCGATTTTGGTTGAATTTCAGGCCTCAATTGTAAATTTCTTGCTTTTTTATAGTTTTTATTTTTTTACTGAGTAATTTTTGGCTGGATTTTCAGTGCTCGGCGAAAATTGTGAAGTGGATCAAAGACGGGAAACTTCCCCGTGCACCTTATGAACAGCAAATGGTCGTTTTCGAGCTTAAAATCGTCTTGGCTCCCTTCAAGGGCATCACTACCCGGTTTTCTCCCGTTTTCGCCCATTTCTCATCGTTTCGTTGCCCAGAAAAGCCCGTATAGCCGAATTTGCGGGGAGGTTCTCCAGAGTGACTGTGGCCCTCGGCCGACAGCAGCTCCTCCTCGAATTCCCCAAAATTTCCGAGATTTTCAACTCTTCTGTGTAAGTTTCAACACTGGGGAAAGGTTGGAAATGCGATTTTCCATATAATAATTTTCGAGAAGGCTTGATCGAAATCTGAGCTTTTTCCTGCTTTTTTTAGGTTTTCTAAATTAACAACTTTGCACTTCATTTTAAGACCTTTCCTTATTTTTGCCGATGTTCCTTTAAAAAAGCAGGAGATTAAAAAAATTCTCTTTTTGGCAGTATTTTTATTCAAATTGATTAATTTTAAACCTTTCTTCAGTTTGAAGATGTGTAAATCGAAATTTATTAACTGAGTTTATTCCAGCGTTTTTGCAAATTTTTAGATTCCAGTGGTTTCTTTGAAAACGGAGAAGGCTCCGAAAATATGAACAAATTGGCTCTTGTTTCGAAAATTGAGCCATTTGAGAGCAGGAAATGCGCTCTATGGAGAAAAAAATGTGTTCAAATTATTTTTTTTGAATGGAATTCTCTCTTTAAAAGAAATTTCAAGGAGAGTCTTTTACCCGACAAAAAAATAATGAAATAATTTAATTCTTTGAAAGTTTCACGTCCAAAAAGGATTTTTTTGCTGTTACTCCAGTTGGATACCACAGAAGAGCTTCAAAAAATATTCGTGTACCTTCAAAAAATTTCCGAGAAACGGTACTGTGTGATTATTCCAGCCCCCAACACACGGATGTGACGGTTTTGGCTGTGGCCCTCGGAAATTGTCCACATATTGGAATGTTCTTCGACCGCGGCGATTACGCTGCCAGCGACAACGAAATTTGCAACTTGTGCGTGGTTTTCCTCATCAAAAAATCAACAAATGAAAAAAATGTGCTCTACTTAACTATTTGTAAAAGGTAATATTTATTTTTTCAAAGGTCCGTGAGAACCCTGAAGAGCCTACTTAGATCTGAAACCTTGAAAAAGACATAAAATGAGTATGATGCGTAAATTTCCTGAAAATGAGCCGATTCAAAGGGATTTTATCAATGGAGCGCACAAGTGAAACTCATAAAAGCCTTATACCGGAACTTTTTGTTATTATGACCTGTATAGGAGATTAAAGTGAAGGACAAGTAGTTCTCTTTTTTTGCCCAAAAAAAGTTTTTTAGATTTTGAATTTCAATTTTTTGCAGGTCCAACTGACTGTCATAGGTATTCGACTTATTTAGCTAATATTTATAGTTCTATGAACCCTTCAAAAATATTTACTTTCTAGCTGGTTCAAGTGAAAAACGCGAAATGTTTCAAAATGCAAGAAAAAATTTCCTCGGCATGCCAAAAGTTGCTTCGAAATAGTACATTTTGTGTATTTAGAGCAATTTTTTTCGGGTTGTTAAAAAAATATTCCTTTTTTTCATGATGATTATTTTTTTAATTTTTTTCCTTTTCACTAGTAATTTTTCAATATTTACGCCGATTTGTGAAATGATAGTCTCACGTGGAATGGCTTTTTAAGGCGCAACCGATCAAAAAACGACTTGCGCACGAGAGCATCGAAAAATCACTATAGCAGAGCGATTCCATGTGCGGCCAATTTTCGGTCAAAACGGGCTAGAAAAAAATATTTATAAATCTCCTGAACAAATAAAAAAAGGAAAAATTAAACATTTTCTAGAAGATTTTTTTCAAAAAAATTGAAAGAAAAATTTTATAGCCGTCTTCGGCCCCCCCAGACAACGATGTGACACGAGAAAATCATGCCTTCAAAATTGCTGGTCAGTGGAAATTCACTCAAATTTTGAAAATTTATTGTAATTTAGGCAAACATCGATACACTTCTTTCTCACGTTTCGAGCACGATCGGAGGATTCTTTTCGTTTATTTTGGAGTTCAAGTTCAAAGTAATTTTTTTCTAAGAAGGGCAAAGTCCAAAATGACTTGAAAATAGTTTCTGAGCGCTTTTTCAAGGCTTTTTTTTCATCGCAAAGTTGTTTTTCAGGCCAAAAATTGAGTATAAAAGGAAAAGGTCAGGTATTTCTAAAAAAAGGAAGAGTCCTTTCTCAAAAAAAGAAAAATAATATATTAAAAAAAGGAGAAAAAAACAGATTTTTTTGTCCCCCCTCCCTTCCTTTTTGGGTCCCTTTTTTTATCGCTTCTATAAAAAAATTTTTGTTGAAAGAAAAGAAAGCCAGAATAATTTCTAGAAAGAAGCGTATTTTCTAAAAATTGTGGACCTTTTTAGGAACTAAAAAAAGCCCCCCGTTGTTAGACAACAAAGAAGACAAATGTTCCAGACTCAAATATCGTTGAAGGAATAAAAATATCAAAGGATTCCGCCTGGCCATACCCTACCACGCTATCCATCAAGTTTCAAATTGCCTAGTTTATCCTCAAAATCCCTTGAATCTTCAGTTGGTTGTTGACTTCGGCAAGTACCCCAACAACGCTGTTTTTCTCCATTTGAAGCACCCGCCGCAGGTAGAAATTGATCATTTTTCGAATAATTCAAAGTTTTATGAAGTTATGGAAGGCGATTCCAAAAGCGACGCACAGTCATCCCTCAAGGGCTTTGGTGGTGAATCTCGAGACCTGCAATGACTGGGTTGGTTTCGAAAGAAGACAAGAAAACAATTTTGATTGTTGTAAAAATGGGGAACTTCAGAAAAAACATAAGTTTTGATATATTGGAAGTATGAAATAGTAATGAGATTTTTGTCTTCTTTTCTTTTTTTATTTCTTCTCTAGGCGCATATGGCTTGAGCCATCGATGAAAAGGTCTCGACACGATAATCAAAAAGATATAGCCGATTCACGGCTTGCTTGGGACGCTAAGGGGCGTGGTCTCTCTGCACTCTCCACGATCCAGGCACTGTCTCGTGCATTTTCGTGTCAGGACCCATTTTTCGATGTTTCAAGCTAGCCGTGAATCAGCTATAGTGCCTGGTTGCTGGAGAGCACAGATAAGCCACGCCCCCTCAGCGTCCCAAGTTAGCCGTGAATCGGCTATATTCGCAAATTTAAAGAGAAAAAGTTTCTCTGCGCCCTCCTTTCTTCTCGACGACCCTCTCATGTTTACATGCTCTTTTCACGTTTCTCTGACCTCGCCGGTGAGGGAACAGAGAGACGCAGACACGCGAAAACTATCATGTCGCGGCGGACGGACTATAAAGATCGCCACGCCACAACTCTTTCTCTGACACACACTATTTCGTCGTTCTCTCGCAGCTAGATAAAGACGAAATAGTGTAGATCAGAGAGAGGGTTGAGGCGGTCTTTATGCGCCGTAGGCCAGAATTAGAGAGAAGAGAAGTAGCTGGACTCTTTGAGTGATCACTTGAGAGTATTCATCAATCATCATCAAAATTTATCGGTTGTTTTAGTCAGATGGAGTCGACTAGGCGGTGATAAAATTGCTCTTTTGAGCGGCACTAACACCGCCTTCGGCGAAAATGAAGTCAAAACGTGTAGTCGAAAGAGTTGAAAGCATTATCTTACGGTCCTTCGCCTCGTCCTTCTGTGCGTAGTCCATCCAGTTGCGCCTTGACGAGCTCAGAATGTAGCAGATCTTGTGCTGGAGCCCGGAGACCGTGCTCTAGGTGGAAGCCTCAGAATGAGAGCGACCACTTCGAGTGAAGATTTTACACGGAAATTGAGAGTATTCAGAAAATTCTTCGATCGAAAATTTTGTATAAACTGCGTGCCATGTTCCACGAAGTCCAGAATAGCCGTCAGAGAATGAGTAAGATAACCAAATTTTGGAAATTCAGAGATAATTCCGAATTTCTCAGAAGTTACTTCGAGTCTTCCGGAAACTCTGAAGGCGGGAAAATTGTAATCTTGACCGAATAAGGAAATTAAAGCTTTTCGAAAAGATACTGTTTAGTTTCTGTACGGAAAAGTTGGTTTTCTAAGAATTTAGAAAAAAATTGTTTTTGTTGGATTTTTAAAATGTGGGCCGTAGATCGAACTCCAAACAGTTTTTTTATGTTTTTAATGAGATCTAGAAGTTTTTTTCTATTACTTTTTTTCGTAAACTTTCAGTAGAAATATAATCAGATTAAAATTAACTTCAGTTCCGTTTTCATAAGTTTGAGGAAGATTGAGCTTTGTAAAAATGTTAAGAAAATATTTTTCGTAACTTTTTTTTTGGAAAAAGAGCTTTTTCCCTTTAGTGGTAACTTAAAAAGTTTGAACTACTCCTTTATTTTCCTCTGACAGCAGCAAGGCAGAAACGTTAACTTTTAATTTTTGAAGAGTTTTGCCGGACGATTTTTTGTATTTTTCGAAGCTTCTTTGTCAAAACTTTATGGTTTCATATTTTCTTTCAAATCTTTGTTTCTACTCGGCATTTTAGAATATGATGTTAATTTTTGAAAATTTTGGTTATTGCTAACTAGGCAACTCTCGGACTCGGGTACGCGTTTCGAGGTGAAACTTCGGTGGCTAATAGACCCGGGTAAGAGTACTTGGAAACAAGAGAGATTATCTGCTAAACCCCATAGGCTTCTGAGAAAAGCTTTTTGAAAATGAACAGTTTAGGCTTGAAAACTATCAAATATTTGCTTTCCTCCTTTTTTGGCTGGAAAAAAGTTTTTTAGAGTTGATCATAGCCGGATCATTCAAGAAGATTGTAGTGAAATATAATATAAGGTAAAAAGCAGTATTCTGAAAAGTTTTCAGGGTTAATCTTCACATTTTCTACTGATTTTTTCTCGGTTCTCTATTGGGTTTAGCAGATATTCTCACTTGTTTTCAAGTATTCTCACTTAGGTCTATTAACCACTGAAGTTTGAACTCGATCCGCGTACCCGAATCCGAGTAGTTCCCTAGTAAGAGATGAACTTGACTTTTTTTTTTCAGCAGCTATTTTTAGGTTTCTGATAGAATGAGTAGAAAAAGTTCTTTGATTTTATTCATTTTTTCGAACAGAGCCTCTGCTGTGAACTTTTTTCAAGGAAAACATGGATTTCACACTTTTCGGTTTTCTCAATAGGATATATATTATGTTTCCTTTTGATAGTGATACATTGAACTTGGAAATAGCAAAAATGTTCCTGTAACATAATTATGAGAGAGTAGAACCGTTTATTTTTCATAGTATTCTCGAATTTTGTTCACCTTTTTGTGTGAAGAATCGATTTTTTTTTTTACAGTATTCTTCCTTTTTTATCAAATAATTCAAGAGGAAAATGATCCTTCAGACAGTGAAGCTGTAGATGAGAAACAAATTGGACCTTGGCCTATTTGTGTCGAATCTACAGTTCATCGTCGGAAAGGCGTCGTTCTGGGATGGGATTGTAGACGGAGTAAAGTCTTCAGAAGGGAAGTTGTAGAGGAGGGCTTCAGAAGCCTTCCAGGGAAACGGAGTTTTCAGACGGTGACACCATGGGAGCGAAACAAATCGCGACTGGGTCGATTTGCCTCGATCCGACAGTGCATCGTCGGAAAAAAGACGACCTGCCGGGGAAGGGGAATGGAAGCCGAATGAAGGAAAAGAAGCGACGGAGGCCTTTTTTATGGGCCGAGCCACGTCGACGTGGCCGACGATTCACCGTGGGAGCCGACAAACGTTTCTTTTTCTCATCTCGGCGATTCCGTCTTTGATTATTGCCTCGTGATACTGTACGATTCAAAGGAATGCCTTTTCTGGACCGATGGGAACATCATTAATTCAGAACTGATCGAACTGTGATTGCTGTGTGGGAGAGAGTCGGCCCGTGCCAGGAACGGAATAATGAGATTCTATAAGAGGTTTTTGGAGCATGGCACGGAGTTAAGATTTCTTTCGAGTGGTTAGAGCATGATAGGAAGCAGCTGGAATGAATGAACTTGCTCTAACTGTACGTATCTGAACGAGTTTATTGGGTCATGAGTGGAAAATGAAGATTTTTTTTGAGTCCGGACTGAATGCGTAGCAACATTAAAAAAAACTTAAGTTTCAGGGTTTGAGTTTTTTTTTCATTAGGAAAATGTCTTCATAAAGGGGCAGACTTATTTTTCCATCGATTTGTTATGGTCAAGCATAAATATACATGGTAAGGAAAATAAATATTTGAGTGACAAGTATTTTTTTTTTGAGAAGCCTGTTGGCACACTCGCGAGTAGTTTTTTGTCAAGGGAGTAGAGGAAATTCCTAACAAGGACGGTCATTATACTTTGCGGTTAGGAATTGCCTGAAAATTGGCCGCCACACTACTTGATGTACTAGAAGAAAATTCTGAAAAATCAGTGAAAACCCTCTATTTTCGTTAAAATGACCTACTTTGGGGCTCTGCGTCCCTCTTTCTCAAAAAAAGAATTGTGCTTGAGACTTTCAGAATATTTATCTGGGACATCAAGGAGTTTTCTGGTCGAATTTCAGGGAACTCCCAACCGCAAAGTGAAATGACCTTCCTTGTGAAACGAGTGGCAGAAGTCTTCATGACGAATTTTGAGCAAAGGAAGTGAGCTTTAAATAGTAACAACCGTGTTGATGAAATTGTCAAAATGGAAACCTGTCAGAGGATTCTCATCGGAAAACGAAGTTAGTTCTTCTGTTAAAATTAATTGGAAAATGATAGGAGCCAGGACTGAATTTTGAAGTTTTATTTTCTATCGGAAAGTCTTCTGGTTCAGCTTCAAATCATCGCCTCACGATACTGTATGATCCAAAGAAATGCCTCATTTTGGTACATGTGAATTTCATTAATTCAGAATTGATCAAACTGTGATTGCAGTGTGGGAGTCTAGCATATCATTATCAATGAGAACAAGTTTCTCCGTGCCGCGAACTGTTTGCTAACCTGATGAGATTTTGGCGAGACTTTATATGAGTATTGGAACTCGTTCGTTTGTTCAGAAAGAGTAGCGGGTTAGGAGGAGCTCCAAATATTTTCATTTGGAGCGCTTTTTGAGGCTTATCTAGATAGTCAAGAAGATTTTGACTGTGAGATCCTTCAGCAATAAAATTTTTTAACAGCCCGGTTTCACGGGAAAACATTAAATCAGAACTGATCAAACTGTGATTGGTTTGTGGGAAAAGTATTGGGCCGTGCCAGGAACCATGAAATGAGTTTTTTTGGATTGTTTCATGGAAATCGAAATTTTTTAAATCGAAGAAGAATGGTAGGCTACGGCATTGCAAAATATCAGAATTTCAGTTCTGAATGACTTTTCTGTAGTGCAATTTATAATAATGAAACGTTTTTTTTTGATAATTGACTCTGTATTTGTAGTAAGGAAAATTTTTGTTCAATTTTTAATTTTTTAGTTTTGAAATTTTGTAAGCAGTTCGAAAAAGTGGGGGCTATAGCAAAAATGGTGGGGAAAAATCGGTATTTTTTCTCAAACTTTATTCTCTAATCGAGTACCAAAAAGAGATAAATGGATGAAGCTCTCAGTAATAATTTGTTGACAGATCAGCGTGAACCCTAACGTGTTCACTTGGATCTAGAATTTGGGAGAATACATTGTAAAACTATACATTATTTGTGTCTTGGAGAAATAGATAAGAAGCTCTCGTGCAATGATAGAATGACCAGTTAATTTTTTCACAATCGTAAACGTATTTTGAAAATTTTTTCAAATCACAAAAGAAATTTTAAATCAAATTTATTATTGGATTCTTCGACAGTTTAAAAATAAGCTTGAAAGCAACTTGAAAAAACGGAAATTAAAAGAAGATTTTCAAAAAAAGCGGCTCAAAAGATTTTTCCCATCATTTTTGGAGCTTCAACGGGGTTTCCCTTGTGAGGGCCCTCGAATAAACTTTTCCGTTTACCTATAAACACTTTCTCGATTAGAAATATACTTGACTGATAATTTTCTAGGTTCGAGTCTTGGAATGGCCTGCCGATGCAAAACTTCGCGGGTTCGGTTGCACTCAAGAAGCCTTCGCTCAGAGTTCCTGGCTACGAATCGACTTTACCCAAAACCCAGCAGAATCGGTTCCTAATTTCCGCGTCTTTCCAAAAGCAGCAACATTTTGAAGGAGCTCCTCCTGGAGGTAATGTCCCGAGTTTCTTGGCGATCTTCGGTCAAACTCCACGTTGGCTCCATTCATTCTTTGCGCAACAAATTGGTCTCCAACAAAATTCCCTTCGCCTCGGTCGGATCTTTCCGCGCCGACTATGTTATTGAGGTTGTTACAGGGGGAACATCTGTGGAAGTTTATGAAAATTGGCCAGAAAAATCCTTGATTTTTGGAATAAATCTTTTTTTTTTCGTTTTCAAAAGGCCAAGTGCGGCATTTGCAGTTATTTCACTATGTATTTTTGGCGCTAATTCGGAAAATTTCGAACTTTTTCATTTTGTTAGGCTTTCCTTTTCAAAAACTCAATTATTCACATCGAATAGTTTCCCAAATTTTCATTTTTTAATGGACCTTTAAAACCCGAAAGAAAGCTTCAAAAAATGGCGTTTTCTTTTCGAAACCCATTTTTCTACTGAAAATTCGAGAAGACCTGAAAATTGATTCAAGGCCCTGAGAAGACGAGGAAGCGTCGTGATGGACCAGCTCTTCAACAGCACCGAAAGTCCGTTAATCGACCGACAAGAAACGCCGCTTTTTTTCAGAATGATCGGAAGAGCAATGGAGGTGGGATTGCACTAAAAGACAACTGATTTATTGAAAAAAGAAAATGTTTCAGGAGTGCAGCCGAGCCTGTGAGGAAAGCCTGGAGCAACTCCTGAACGCCTTGGACGAAAGAAGGGCCATTTCTCTCTGCAAAGCCTTCAGAGTCATGTTTGAAGTGAAGACCTTTCCTGGGATTTTCCATCGATTTTTGATTTCTAGGAACGAAAGTTGGCCTACGAAAGAGTTGTAGCTGGCCATCGACTCCAAGATGTTGGCCTTCTGAAGCCGCTGCCCAAAAATTGCGTTTCCGTTCCGAAGGTTTCGAAAAATCCGTTAATTTCAGGGGGAAAAAATGAATTTCGAATACTGATCTTCTCACCTCTACCCGAGGATTCATTCTTAAATCTTGAAAAAAAGAAAATTTAGGAAGAAAACTTAATTCAATAACTTTTTTGCAAAAGTTTTTTTAATCACTTTTAATCGGCTCGTTCGGGACTATTTTTAGGCTCAGTTTACTCTGAAAAAATTTTCAAAACTCTAGCTTTTTTATTGAATATTTTCATACCGGAATGAGTCATTTATTGACATTTTTTCGCCGTACAAAAAAAATCATTAGTTGAAAATCCTTGAGGTTTTGTTTTTTTTTTATTAATTTCTGGGGAGGTCAGTTCAAATCTTGTGAAGCATTTTTATTCTGTTTTTGATTTATACTGATTTTTACTGATTGATTTTCGCACATTCCCTAGTTTTGGAGAAAAACTACCAAACCCGTTTTTAAACGGAAATAAGTTTTTTAGACTAGTAGCCTTTATTTTTCTACAAGCAAGTCTTTTCGGTTAAGATTTTAATGTTTTGTACATCAAGAACTGTTTTGACCTTTTTCCAGGAAAATATCAACGTTTATTCCTGAAAATTCCGTTTCTTTTTGAGGTGATGGTCTGCCCAACCCAAACTCTGCTCATGGCGCCCGAAGTCATGATGACAAATCGAGTTGTGAGGAGATTCGGGGCCGAATATGCCCTCAGAGTCGTTTTTCGAGACGATAGTGGCGGCAAATTGGCTGTCCGTGACTTTAACACCGACAAAAATGAACGTAGGATGGGGAAAAAGTTATTGAGACAATGGAAAATGTTGAGAATCTGAGGAAAACAGTATCGTTTCGGTTTTGGTCCGCGACACTTTGGTCGAAGGAATCACGGTCGGCGACAGAACCTACCATTTTTTGGCCTGGAGCAATTCTCAGGTTTTGATTTTGTCCTTCTAGGTTATAAAGGAAAAAAAAAACTCATATTAGGAACTCCAGATTGGACACTATAGGGGCAACATTAGAAGCCTTCGAAGGTTCCCCTCTAGGGGCCCCTTAATCACCCCTATAGAGGCCACATGAGCTTGAAAAAGTTATTTAGATGGAAAATATGAACAGGTTATGAAATTTTCAAGTTTTTCAAGCATTTAGATTTCCAAATCTCGACAAAAAAATAGATGACCCTATAGTGGTCCCTTTTTTTTCTCTGTGTTTCCCTAAAGTGGCCACTCATGTTACAACCCTATAGTGGACACTTTTTTGTTTCCTATAGGAGCTCTTTATCTGTTTTACTATTTTCCTAAAGTGGCCACTCAAGTTATAACCCTATAAGGGAAACTTTTTCGTCCTCTTCAGGGGCTTTTTAATTGATTACTTCTTTGTGAAGAGTCTAAAAACCGAACGAAGTATTTATTATAAAGTTGAAGTTTGAATTTCAATGCACACTGACATTTTCTCATCTTTTCGATTATTCGAAGGAAAAAAAAGAAGATTTTAACTTCAGCTCCGCGACCAAGGCTGTTACATGTACGCGGCGAAGTTCGATCCGGAGAAGGGCGAATACACGGGAACGATTGAAGAAATCCGCGCCTGGATGGGCAACTTTTCGACGACGGCCAGTGTCCCGAAGATGATGAGCCGCATGGGGCAATGCTTCACCCAGGCTCAGGTTCTCGGACAATTTCTTTGTATCATCACTACTTTGTTCCTTTTGAACTTGTAAAAAAACAGAAATGCGGCTAACTACGCATATATTTTCTCGTCTGGATTTTGCGCTCCATGATGATCCTTTAATAGCGCTCATAGGCAAAGTCGGAAAGGGCTTCATAAAAATGTTCTTTTTAGAGTGACAAAGGCTCCTTTTTTGGTGTCTTTCTGCTCCATTTTCTCAGTCCTTATGCACCATTTTTGCTGCCTCTCTCTTTCTCCACCAATTCACGAGCCTTTGAAACCCCAGAAAAAATGAAAACCTCGATAAAGGGACTCTTTTGCTGCCTTTCTGGGACCTTTTTTTGAGCCTCTTCCTTTTAGCGGCCATTATCCACCATTCCGAATTTGCCCGTGGTATCGTTTTTGACCTTTTTTTGAACGTAAATCTTGAAAGAGGCCCTCAAAAAATTCGTCGATTTACTCGCATAGTCTGTAAACTACCCCCCTGCGAGTAAATCGACGAGATCTGTATTAGGAAAGATATACAATAGTTTACAAAATGAGGACCGACTTCTTGAAAAATTTCAAAATTTTCAGACTACGATCAAGTTGGAAGAGAAACACTGGATTGTCGAGAACGACATCACTGGCGGTTTTTTCTTTATTTTTCTCAGAAAAAATAAATTATTCAGGGGTCACTGGTAATTACTGTTTCACGGATGGATGTGGGAAGATTTCGCTAAAGTTCGCCCTCAAAATGATGCACCTTTTGAAGCTTCCAGTCCTTCCTGTCTGCTTTCAAGTGGAGAAAATATTCAATTTTTATTTTGGAATAGAAAATTTGAGGTCCGTTTCAAAGGGTTCAAAGGAATCCTAGTCATCGACCCGACTATCGATCAGATCGTTGGAGCGAAAAAAATCGTCTTCAGGTTGAAAAATCAATGAATTTTAATGGATTTTTATATTGGAATTTTCAGAAAAAAAGCCAGCAAAAAGTTCTTGGAAGGTATCGGTGGGAATAAACAGGAACATTTGGAGGTTATTTCCTTTTTCTTTCGAAGATCTGGGATTTTAAAAAGTTTTAGAAAAAGATTATATCAGACTCGAAAAAATAGCTGCACAAAATGATTGCCTTTAAAAGGTCTTTTTATAGAGGAGCCCATAAAGAGCTCACGAAAAAATATTTGTCACAAAAAGCCGAGAAAATATTTTTGCAGAAAACCCAAGGGACCGTCAAAACTAGACTGACACAGAGAAAAAAAAACTATAAAAACAGGAAAAAGTTATTTTTGGGAAACCGTAGACAATAAGCCAAAAAAAATTGAGGAATCGTACAAAAGTAGCCGCAGGAAAAGTAATTGCAAATTTTACAACAAGCTTAGATGCTGATGAAAGTGCGCTCCAAGGCTAATTTAATTTTCGAGTCTATTTTTCCTTTGTTTTTTTAAGAGAATGGCTCAATAGCTTCAAACTCATCGACGATTATTTTCAAAAATAAAAATACTGGCGATAAATGTTGCAACAAATGAAGCAATTTTGGAGACAAATAAAATAACCGACTTTTCTTTGGAGTTTTTATGCGCCTGAAACTTAACGGTGTAAAATTTTTTGTGGATTTCTACTACTTGAGCTGTCGTTTTTAAAGAATTTCTGGATAACTGTCAAAGAGGGAGAAAGATAAGTAAATTCAGAAGATTCAGAGATGATTTACACTTTCTCTGGCTTTTTTCTTCTCAAATAATTTATCTCATAAGTCGGTTTGAAAATGATTAATTTCCATTATAGGTTGTGAAATATTCGATGCCGTCTCCCGTTTGTCTCAACCGGCCAATGATCACCATTCTCGACAAGGCAAAACTTGAAAAAATAGTTTATCCAATCCTAAGCTTTATCATTCAGGTGTCGGAAAAACAGTCCAGCTCTTCACATGAAAGAATTTCCCGACGTGTTCATTATTACCTCGAACGCGAATTGTCTGCTTTGAGCGGTAGTTCTTGGGAAGAATCCTCCGAAAATAGGAGAAATAGGAATGCTTGTGAACGAACGGACGGCGGCGGTCGAAATGTCGACCAGGACCAATTTGCCCATCGATTTCAACCATCTCTCCATGAAATGCGGCTTCAGAATCACGACCGATTCTTTTTTGAGACGGATGCTTGTGTCGATTTATCGATATAATGTCCTGCATCATATTTCCAAGGTCCATTTTCAGCTCAAATTTCAAAAAATAAGTCCAAGGTTAAAAGGAAACACCCTATTATAAGGAGACTTTCTCATAACACGCAATTTTTTTTTGGCGACGCCCCGCCCACTTTTCCTCCGTAAAGTGTCGTGTGTCGTGTGCATGCACTGCGGCGCGTTCTCGCAGAAAATTTTCGATTCGTTTCAAAGTTCTTTGGCAATACGGCCGCCTGCGCCTTTAATATGCCCTGTTGGTCTTAGAGCCGAAATCTCTGCCATGATGTCACGTGGGAACAACGGAGGTTTTGACTCCGCCCACTGAACTTTTGGTTTCGAATTTTCTTTCACTAACAAAAAACGCCTTGATAAGGGAAAGCTATAAAAAAGAGTTTTGAAAATTCTGATTGTACAGGAACAAACTTTGGACTTGTAGACACCTTCCTGAAATGAAGGCTGACTTAAAAGCGCATGCGCATAGATGAATATATTTGATTTTTTGCTTGAAAACTCCAAAAAGTTGGAATTCAACTCTAAATTGGAAGGGAACTTGAGAAAAGGAGAAAATTCTTATTCCAAATAAGATGTCAGGAAAGAATTTTGGATCTGCGAATATTCCCCCAACATTGGTGTATGCACACTTCACACTCACGAACATTCACGGACCCAAAATTCTTTCCTACCATCCCAACTTCATGAGTGATTTCCAAACTTTTTTTTGAAATGAAAAGTTGAAGTTTTTGATGTAAAATAATTTTTTAAAGGCGAAAATCTTCCTACCTGGTCACCTGGGCCGCACAATGTACGGCGTGGTCGACGAGACAGGTCTCCTGATGCCCGGCCAGGTCTTCATTCAATACTCGCCGTCCTTACGGCAAGGGTCCCATTCCAAAAAGATCCTGGTGGAAGGTACAGCTTTTCCCGGGAAAAAGCGCAAAAAAAGACTTTTCAAGGAAGAGTCCTGATCACGAAGAACCCCTGTCACGTTCCCGGGGACATCCGGATGTTCACCGCCGTCTATCAACCAGCTCTCTCTTATTTGGTCGACGTGGTCGTTTTTCCGCAACATGGGCCTAGGCCTCATCCCGATGAAATGGCTGGTAGGGAATTTGTAGAAAAATTTTAAAAATATGCTTGAAAAAATTTATTTTTAATGGAATGGTAAGAAGGAAAAATATGATTATTAGAAAATTTTTAAGAAAATAAATAAAAGGTTGGAAGAAATCTGTCTCTCGAGCTTTGAATATAAAAAGACTCAAAACTTCAAAAAAGTCTGAATAAAGTTACCAAGAAGGAGGAACCTTTTTAAAGAATTTTTTTCGCGAGTTTGCTAATATTCACTTCATAGCGCTCTGATTTAAAAAAAAAACAATTTTCCGTTTTTAGTTGAATTTTAACACATCCATCTAAGTTTCTTTATCGTTTTTGTGGAAAAATCGAGAGTTTTCGGCATTTTCAATACATCATAACTTGGCTCGAAGAAGATATTTTTTCAAAGAGCTCCAAAAATAATTCTTAGCAAAATTCTCCCTGATTTTTTCTAGTGAGTTGAAAAAAATTGCCTCATTTTCAATAAATAAGAGCTTTGAAAATGCGTTGTTCATCTCTTCAAAAACAATTTCAAAAAAACATGTTTAGAAGGAATTTTGAGAATTTGAAAAAATTTAAAGGCGCATGAAAAGCACCTTGAAACATATCCTGTTGCGAAAATCAGCTTCAAATTCGTCCAAAGTGTAATTTCTAGATATAAGAAAGAGGTGACCCAAAAGTTTGTGAGGGCCTCACTTAAGAAAGGCAGAGTGGTCCTTATAGGGGCAACATTAAGATTCCTTGAAATTTCCCCTCCAGGGGCCGCTTTACCTTTGCCTGTAGGTATCACTCTGGCTTTCCTGAGATATTCATTCATTACAAGGTTATATGCTACTTTCCCCTTTCACCATTTTCATAAATCTTGTTTTGATCTCACCTGTGAATGAACAAATCTTTTTCAAGAGCAACGAGGTTTTAGGATCTGACTTGGATGGCGACGAGTATTCCGTGATCTGGGACGAAGAACTTTATTTCGATCGAAATGAAGAAGCCATGATTTATCCGAACCAGACTCATGCGGAGGACGACACTGCTGCCACTGTGAATATTTTATTAATTTTTACAAATCAATTTAAAAAAAAAACTATGGTAGTGGATCCACAAAAAACGTATGATAATCCAAAAAAAAAGACTTGAACCTAGGTCATTTAGAACAGCAGACAAGTGTTTTTGAAGCATTTTTCAGACCCAAGGAATGGTCGACTTCTTCCTCAAATACCTCACCCAAGACGCGATCGGACGTGTCAGCAACGCCCATCTGATCTCGGCCGACTACAAAGGCCTCTTCCAGTACCCTTCCCATTTTTCAAACTGGTGTTGAACAAGGTTTTCAGCGAGCACACCAACTCGATCGCCTTGAAATGCGCGGTGGCTGTGGATTTTCCCAAAAGTGGGATCCCGGCGAGGAAACTGACGAGTGATGAACAATGCGACATGGCGCCTGACTACATGCCGACCTCCCAGAGGCCTCTCTACCACAGCAACTCTCTTAATGGACAGCTCTACAGGTCGGTAGAAACTCGCTGGGGAACTAGGCGGGCGGTTGAGTTGAATATTTAGTGGCTAGTTTGAGAGATAGTGGAATAGATAACGAAAAGAGCGGTTGCCGACGCTTGAATTGAACACGTGCCAAAAGCCGCGTACGCACACGCTACGCGTCCCGCCCACTTCTCCGCTCCCTTCCCTTTTCAAATCGGGCTGGACTATAAACCTCATAGGGTTCTGATAAAAAGCTTCTCGAATGAATCCAGGAAGCTTCCTGTAAGCGCCTTTCTCACCGGAATGGCCGGACCATACGTGGGCCAGGCCACTTTTTAATAGTGACGTCATAGCGCAGGACCCCCAAAAAAGAATGGTTCGACATATAGTTTAATATTTACAAGTTTCGTAATTTTATAGGCTGTGTGCCACGAGCTGAAATTTCACGGAACGACATTCCGCTGTTCCGCTGCGTGCGTTCGCGAAGCGTCTTTCGAATCTAGGTCATGCTTTCAATTGATTTTTATTGCTGTGGCAGCACATGAAAGCAGAGTACCTTAATAAAAGAAATTAAATTAAAAGCGTGACCAAGTTTCGCAAAGGCGCGCAGCGGAACAGCGGAATGTCGTTTGGTGAAATTCCAAGTCGTGGTACACAGGCTATACAATGCTTTCCGTTCTAACGAAGATGCAAAAAAGATTTGCACTCGACAGGAGTCGAACCTACTCAAAAAAGTCAATCATAAGACTGGTTCTCTAACCACTGCGCCATCCCACCTCGGTGAGAGAGGTAGGTCCAGGCGCGTCGAGGACTCTTCCTGGATTCCTTCGAAGAGCTTTTTCTCAGAAGCCTATGTGGTTTAGCAGATAATCTCTCTTGTTTTTAAGAGCTCTTACCTAGGTCTATAACCCACCAAAGTTTCAACTCGATATGAGGGCTTGAGCCCGAGTTCCCTAGTAAGTCTGAAAGCCACCAAAGTTTCAACTTGACCCGCGTAGTGCCCTAGGCATGACGTTTCTTCCAAGTTGAAAATAATCATAACCATAAAGCTGATACATAAAAATGTCCTCAAAAGGCCTTAAGATTTCATCTTTAGAAAATCGCGCAAAATCGAGGAAATTCTGGAGGAATACGAGCGTAAAGGAAGCGTTTACGAAGGAGATTACGACTACCTTATCTGCCCCGAACAGTACGACGTCTTCCAAGGAAACGCTCACGCCAAGGTTTCGGCGACTCGCGTTTTCGAAGAATATGCGAGAAGGGTTCAGGTGGGATTTCGTTTTGGTCCAGTTTAGAATGGAATTTTTTATCTGAGTTCAATTTTCAGCTTTTTATTTACTGTCTTTCCTTGCATTTCTTATGAAACCAATCATTAAGCTGGGTAAAACTTTGAAAAAAGAAAATCTGGAAATATGTCAAGGAAAAGGTTCTTTTGGATCATAAAACGTCATAAAATGAATATTGAGCTCAAATTTGAAGTTATACTACGAACGTTACCGTGAAGATTATTTGTGGTTTTTTTAGTTTTTTCGATTTTTTTAAATTTAGTTATTTGTTTAAAAATAGTAGTTTAATGTTCTTGTGAGACGATTTTTCGGCCTTCAAAATTTATTTTTGAAAACGCTTCGAATCGAGTTTTTTTTTAAATAAGACTTCAAATTTTTTCACTAGTGATGTACGGTGCCACGACAAAAGCGATTTTTCGAAGATTACGGTATGTGAAAGTCCGCATTTGGCGTGTCGCAGTGTTTGCACATTTTTAGTTCTCACGCTCCCGCGTTTTTTTTCCAGTTTTCTTTTTATTTTATTTTTTTTGAGTGGATCAAAACTATAGGAAACAGGGGTTTTTCATAAATTATTCATTCTGAAAGAGTTTTAAAAAAAAACTAAAAATTTTAAAAAAATGGAAAAAAGCGGAGATGGTACCACTCAGTTTGTGCAAACACACAAATTGCGGACTTTCACATACCGTACCTTTTTGAAAAAAGAAAACCCGTCCTTGTCGTAGCACATGATGTGCATTTGAAAATGGAGACGAGATTCATTTTTTAAGCAACTTCTCGATGAATATGGGATCGAAGACGAGGCTTCCATCGTTTCCGGTCATGCGGCCGTTATCAAAAGGCTCGCCGGAATGGAAAAGGTTTTTCAAACCAATTCCCTCTTCCAAGAAGGAAATCTATACAGGATGACTATTCCTTCTACCACACTGACAAGATCGTCGAACTGCGCTACTCGAAAATCTACGAATCCTTCCGGAAAAAGTTTTTCGAAGAATTCGGCGGCGAAGAGGAAAATACCGTCACGGAATATGGGAAAAGTGTCATCCGATGCACGCCGGAGATGCACGAAAAAGTCAGGCAATGGTAATTTTTTTGCATTTTACTCTTTGGACAGCGTGATGAACAAAATTGAGAAAGAAAACCTCAGCCACTTTTCTCTCCATTGAATGTTTTAGATTTCAGATGATTTATTAATTTTCAAAACTTACCGGCGAAACTCCAGATATTTTTTTAAGCTTTTTCTGGGACGAAAAAATATTTTTTTTCTTTGAAAAGCGTTTATTCAGTTTTCACAGTGATTCAGAAAAGCTCCAGTCATTTTTCTCCCCAATAAAAATCCTAAACTTTGACTAACTTCGTCGAGTTGTAACTAAGTCACAACTTGGAGGCGAAATTCCACTTTTTTGCAGCTTTTTCTTGATAAAAAAATTTTTTTTAGCCTCTTATGATACTCAGAAAACGCTTTGGTGTCCACTAACGACCTTTTGAATCGATTATCACCAAAAAAATTGATTAGTCACCGTTAAGTTAAGGCTTAGAAAAAAAAAATCTACCACATAATCAACTTTCAAAAGTCAGTTTTTTCAAAAATTCATTTCATCGTTACAATCAAATTTTCTTAATTTTACTTTCTGAATTCACTGTATTTTGTGTCAGAACATGTGTATCAATAATGATAAAAAGAAAACTTTATTGATCTTTTCCCAAAAAAATTCTCAACAAAGTTCAACGTTTCATTTCTTCTTGATAAAATTTTGAAGCTAAAACAGAACAATGAAGCCGGAGGTATGTCACTTGACATGAAAAATTCGGTCGGTTCGGTCGCTTTTTAATGATGCCTACTTTTTCAATTTTTCGAATGTCGAAAAGTTTTTTGGGCTTTATTAAATCTCTAACAGTCTCAAAGTACGTATTTCTTCATAGTATGGCTTTTCGAAATCAGATTTCAAACATTTTCCCAAAAAATCTCTCAAATCTTAATGAAAACTATTTCGAAATCAAAATTTCAGGCTAAATTAAAAAGTTTGAATTGAAATTTACTGAAAAAAAAGACGAAATCTCCTATTTTAGGCCGCCAATATTTTCTTTTCGAAACTTTCAAACTAACCATAATCGAGGATTCTGCGCATATCGGACACTTGAAAAATTTTAAAATCAAAAAAAAACTTCAAAACTTTCGAAAAATGGCCACTCTAGAAAAAGCGACCGACTTTTCCAGAATTCTTTATCATTTTATCACGGTTAAATTTTTATTCGAAGAGTCTAGGTACTACGTGGCGTACGTCGCCCCGCGAAAAGGCGATTCCGACGTTTTGCCGGGAAGAAGTCTTCCTTGGATCGTCTGGGAAGTCCTCGGCGAATTGAGGAGGAAATTGGTAGATTTTGAGATCCCAGAAGATCCTGAGAATCTTTTACTTCAAGATGGCCCACCAAAAATCGCACGTAGTTCCATTCGTCAAGTACCCCATGGCCGAACGTCTGAAAGACGCCGTCGAGAAGACAGTTCTCTACAAACAGGAGAAATATCGAGAGTTTTGCGCGAAGTTGGAAAAATCCGAATGTGCTGTTTATTTGATGAAGTGGGATTTTTCGAGTATAAGAAAAAAAAATTAGAATAATTGTTCAGATATGTCCGAATCTACAATTTATACTCGATTCTGTTCATCTTGGACGAATGGCTGAATGAGGTAAAAATAGAGAGTTTTCGGATCTTAGGGTTGCTAGAGTGGTCCCTAGAGGGGCAAGCTTAGAGGTTTTTGTTGGTTACTATCTATGGTCTATAACTGATTCACGGCTAGCTTGAGCCATCATAAAAATGGTCCTAACACGATAATAAAAGAGATAGTGTCTGGTAAGTGGAGAGCGCAGACAGGCCACGCCCCCTTCCCAAGTTAGCCGTGAATAGGCTTTACCTAACCTCTCCCTAAGAGGGTCATTGAAGCTTGCAGAAGTAGCCACTCTAGGGATTTCACTGAGTGGCCTCTCTAGGAGAGCTACTAGTCGTTTATTGTTATATGAAACGATTTTTATGCCTCAAACTCAATGAAGTAACGCTATTTGAAGGAAAAAATATGAACAAAATGAATAAAAGATCATTTTTTATCAAATACGTTTTTTTAAATCTCTAACCTGAACGAAAAAGTTATAACGCCTCTATGGGGACCAATTAAGAATCGAGGGCTAAGAAGGCAAACTCCTACAAGGACCATTTGAAGTTTACCCCTCTAGAGAGCACAACTTTGTCCCCTACAGGGCCTCTTTTTTACCGTTACCCCACCAGTGATCGTTCAGGCGCTACTAATTATTTTCAAAAATCGGTGTGCCCGAAAAAAAATATGAGCATAAATTTGAGTTGAAGGGTTTAATCAAGTTTTACAGGAGGTTAGGGAACAGAGAGACGCAGACACTCGAAAACTGTCAAGTCGCGACAAAAAAACTACAGACCACTTTAGACATTTAGACCACTTTAAGAGAAGTTATGCCCAAAAACCATTTTGAAGTACCTTCACGACCTTCTGAAGTTTTCGACGACCTCCATATAGATGCTTCTGATATAGATACTACTTAGGAGAAAGTCTTCCCAAAGTTGGGCTCCTACATCGTTCGCCTTGGCTGTCTTCTGGTCCAGTTCGCCCTCGGAATCAGACACACGACCGACGACTACGTCAAGTTCGACTTCGACGTCTACTTCAAACATGAAAAGGTCACCGAGAAAAAAAAAAGATAAATAACTGACTTCGAGGTTCAGTTATTTATGGAAGATGAAGAAGAGGACATGTCCCAGACCTACGAACTCGGTTCGATGCTCCTCGAGTTCTTGCAGTACTTGGGAAGGTTTGCAATAAGTGACTGAGGGGTTGGACCATTAAGAGGACAAAGTACACACTCGGAAAAAAAAACTATGTAAAATAACCAGAAAAAAAGGTAATAAGAACGAATATCAGATTTCCTAACCGTAGAGGCTGAAAGAAAAATTGAATATCACCGATTTTTTTCCCCGTTTCAAAGCTATCAGACCTTCTGAGATTGAAGGGTTCAAAATATTTAGAAAATTTTAGCTTCCATATACGACTTATAGTCAAGTGTGCTCCATGGACAAGTAACTGAAAATCAAAAATAAAAAATTCAATTTTTTTTTCTCGTTTCACACTCGAAATATTCACTGTATATTTTAATGGTGCCTCTTCCGTTATTAGAAAATTAATTTAAGGCTTCCAGGTTCCTTTTATTTATTGATATTTGACGAATTAATGATGATTTTATCAGCTTTATGGAGTTCGACAGGACATCGGTAACGCAAACGCTTCCCGGGCCTTTCTAAGCAGCTCTAGGGATCACTTTAGTGGCGTGAGCACTCTTAAGTGACCCCTAGAAGTTTTCAGAAATGACCGGGGCGCGCCCAGTTTGCGTCACCGAGTTTTGAGCATTCATTGAACATTCTTAACTTTTTTTCCAGCAAAGCATTCGGGTCGGTCAAGTACATCAACCTGTCGATTGTTCAAGATGAGACGGAAATCGTACCAGTCATGCCAATGTCGGCCCTTTGGGTTCCACTTCACCTGGTAGGGAACTTTTTTTTGAATTCAACGGTTTAGCCAGCCATTTTTTGATAATGGGAAGAAACAGCTAGAAAACTAGCCTTGATGAAGCTCATTTTCGCTTCGAATAAGGGTAGATTTTGTCAACTTTGACATCTTTTACTGAAAAATTTAGAGAAGAAGTGCATTTAAAAGATTTCCCAGTCAAAATTTTGATGTTGAAAATTCTGAATTAGATTGCCCACCGAACTTTCCACGCGATCGCAGTGAGTGGCCGATTCGATGCGTTGCACTTGACGTCGGCCTTGGACGGCGTCGAATCCTTGGCCGAGAACGAATTCATCTCGGAGAATCGGTAGCTATAATGAAAAAAAAGAGTAATAGGAGACTCTTTCAGAGACCCTACGATGGTTAGAGCTTCGCTTCTCGACGACACCAAAGACTACAGCACCTTGCCGCTTTCCCGTTTCGTCATCATCGACAAACTCAAGGTGAGAGGGGAACTAGGAGCTTTTTAGTTTTCGAGGGACTACTCGGAAAATTTTTAGTGGCGACTATAGGGTTTTGACGTTTTAGTGGCCACTATTGTAGTCAAATTAGTGACCCCTTAAGAGGTTAAAATTAGTTGCCACTATAGAGGTTGAAGTGCTACTACTAGACCACTGAAAATTTTAGTGGCCACTTTAGGGGTCAATGGATCAACATAACTGGTCCAATCTTTGTTTTAAAATTATCAGAGTTAATGGAAGGAATACTGAATGAAGAACTACTGAAGTGGCCACTAAAACGGAAAATAGTGGCCACTATAGAGGTTGCTTTAGTGGCCTCTTTAGTGTCCTCTCCAAGTAGTCCTTGGCCAGCCTCTATAGTGGCCACTAAAAATTTTCCCAGTATCAATAAAAAGTCCAGGAAGTGGGAAAAAATCGAATCTAGTGGTAAAGAGAAGATATAATATAAAAAAATATTCCAAGAAGATATTTATTAAAACTAAAAACATACTTCTAGTGAAATAGGAGTTTCATTAGAAAAAATTGAAGAGTTGAGATTTTTTTTTTGATTCTGACAGTAATACTCCTTTTTCCTCGAATCGAAATAGTCTAACCTGCCTGCGTCTCGTTTCTCTCATCTGCAGGGTCAGAGAAACATTGATACAACATGTAAGCTTAGGAGAAACAGGGTGAAATGAATTCAGATTGTTTAAAAGTTGTGACGAATGGAAAAAAAACACTTTTAAAAGACCCCTACTTTCAGAAAAAAAAAGATGATTGAAGTGAAAAGAAGTTGCGATTTTTGGCTGTTCAGAAAACAAATCTTGTATATCGTATTTTAATCATCTGAGCGCTTCAAATAAGGTCCTCAGAAGCGGCAACTTGATCTAATTCAGGAATGGACCGGAGTCAAGGAGATCCACGTGCGTAACGTGGAACGTCGTTCGGACGTGCTGCTGATCAGCTGCGTCGGCAGCGTCCTCGCCCGCCAACGACTCTCGCGTCTGCTGCTTCTGAAGCCGGAGCAGATCCGCAGCGCCGTCATTCGGGACCAGGTCCCCGAAAGCATCAGAGACGATCATGTTTAATCAGTCCTCTTTTGAAAGTCTTTTGAAGACATTGGAGCTTCGGAATTTCCTATGGATTTGCTCAAAAGTTCTGTGAAGGCCTAGGTTAGGGATTCTGACAATTGAAAAATCTTTTGGAGATTTTTATAAAGTTCAAGTGGGCTTCGGGATTTTGAAAATTTCGAATAAAAACTTTTTAAAGATCAAAAAAAGATTAAAGAGAGCAGGGGGCCTAATGGTTAATTCTTGAAGTTATTTAAATATTGGCCCTAATCATTTTATGAAGATCCGGAAAAAAATCCCCCCTCAAATAAGCCCTCACAAAAAATCCCTCCAAAAAAGGAGATTTTTCTGAATAGTGTGCAAACTCCAGTGACCCTTGAAGGGGTTCGTCGAGGGCTACTTGGAGAGGACCCTAAAGTGGCCACTAGACCACTTCTAGAGGAGCCAAGAGTTTTGATTTTAGTGGTCACTTAAGCATTTTTTAGTAGTATAGTAGCACCAAGTTGACCCCTAAGGAGGCCACTAAATTTCAGTCACTTAAGTGGCCACTTATTCGACTATTATAGTGGCCACTGAAAGTCTTCCCAGCAGAGAAATATTGGCCTCAGGCCAAACTTTCATTTAACAATAACTCTAAAAAAATATAGACCTGTAATTTAAAAATTTTCCGCAGGTAGAAATTATCAGAAATTCTCATCTACCTACACTTTCACCAGCTATTTGAGCACATTTATAGGAAATTTCAAACTTAAAAAAATTGAGTATTCCTTTAGAAGGAAAAAAATTAATTTTAGAACTTCTTAGTAGGTATTTTTTTCTATTCCCCCTCCGAAAAAAAGTTTTTACTCCATTCTACTCGATTTTGTTGCCTCTTATGATTATTTTAAAGCTTTCAAAGCCTTTTAAATTTCCCTCTTCCTGACTATTCACCTTTTTTTCTGTATATTCCTGTTGAATTTAATTTTTTCCTGTCTGATTCAATCTTACTCGGGTCCAATTGCTTTTACAGTGTAATGTTTCATCAACGGTTTTATCGCTTGCCACTGTTTTTATATAAAAATGTCTTCGGCCGATGAAAAATCTCACATTTATTCGAAACTGTTAGACGATTCTGATGATATTGCAATGATTCGAATTGAGGGTTTTGACGACGGAAGTCTGGCAGACGGTTCAGAGAATCGTGCAGCAGCCCTTCTTTTTCTTCGCTCTCGTTTCCCTGTTTTGAAGTCCTTGGGGTGAGCTCTCTGTGAAGAATCTTTTGTCTGGAAAATGGGCTCTTCTCTTTATCTGGAGCTTTTGAAAATATGAATTTTTTTGAAAAAAAATATGAATAACTGAGTTTTTTGTATTTCCCATACTGAGCGAGAATTTGTGGTGATGTAAAAAAAAGTTGAAAAAATCTTTTTTTTTTTCAAACGCGCCCTATCGATAACTTTGCGGTGATGTCAATAAATGCTCGGAAATTGGTAACGAGAAACGGACGTGCTCCGGACGTTTCTGAGGATTTCAAGTGACCGCTTTAGTAGCGTCAGTACTCTTAAGTGATCCCTAGAACGTCCGAAGCGCGTCAAGTTTTCATTACCGAGGACCAAGGTTGAAGCAAAAATTGAAAAAAAAAGAATTTTTTACTTCTTTTTAAAAGATTTTTTTTAGTCTTCATTCAGACGAAAAAAAACCACCCAATACCTTTTTATCGAGAAAATATGGTTATTTGAAGCTTTTTATGATTGTTTTATTTTATTTTTAAGCTCCAAATCTTTCAACAACTTCAGGAGTTTTATCAATCACGGCGTTCACAAACGGACATCAAAAATATCTTGGCGCAAAAATTCACATCTCAAGTACGCAGCCAAAAGCGATCGAACAAACAACATATTAACGTTGAATACTCAGTGTAATTTGTGACGTAGAATGACGTCATTATCCGGAGCGCGAACTTACTTTTTATGTAAATTCAGAAACTTTGACGCCTCACTCATCTTCCCACAGACCATCATGCCGTGCAATCAGAATTTAGAAAAACAGAAAATTTCAGAACATTTAGGTATACTCAAGAACTGAAAAATTTTTTCAAACCATGCAGTTTTTTTAATTTTCAAGAGTATTTTTCAAAATTTACTCATGCATCGTAGCGCAGAACCATTTCAGAACAGATCCCAGAAAATTAATAAAAATCACCCTTTTCAGACGAATGTCGGCCTTTTTCCATGTGCGTATGTTGCGTGGGTGGACCCAAAGCGTGTCCCCCATTTTCGTGTTTCTCGGGCTTAATTCCATTATTTTCCGATGGAAGCAAACGTTCTATCTGTTGAAAAAAAGATAAGCGATTCAGATTTTTTTAAAACCTACGATTAATAGTTTTGTCCGTAAAATTTGGTTCTAACAAGCCAGATTTATGAAAAAACCCCTTTTTTTTGTTAATTTTGGTCAATAAATTTGAGAGAAAATTGATTTTCAACGTGATTTCTATAAACTGTTCTGATCATCATAATCAAAATTTTTTTCAAAAAATTGATTTTTGGAAGATCATGGGGCAAGCATAAAGGCCTGATTTTCCAAATGATGGCTCTTTTCTTGAATTCTTTTCCCGCCGAAACTGTACTGAGAACATGTTACTGTAGCGCGAAACGATTTTTCCCCAAAAAATGAAAATTTTATTTGGAAAGTTCGGTCACATCTCTGTCCCATTTTGCTCATTTCTATAGTTTCAATTTTTTTAATTTTCATAAACTCAAATTTTAAGCATTTTTTTGAAGTTTTATAATAGATTTGATACATATTCACAGTCGTTCATTATTTTATTTTTAGGAAAAAAATTGGAAAAATGCTATCTTCTATTCAATTTTTTAAAAGAAGTTAATAAAAAGAGCCGAGGCCTAATTTTCCAAATCATAGCTTCTTTTTCTGTCAAAAAATCGCTCAGATAGTTTTGCGACTATAGCATTTGAACTGCATAAGAATAAGCTATAACTTTTCAAAACTTTCCGAAAAAGCTCCAGAAACCGTACCTGCTTGGTTACTTTTCTGTCAGCGATTGGCCTTTTCAGTTCCATTTTTACTTCTTTGAACTCCTTGGGGTCAGACGGAGGCCTGGCGTCGAACGAATGTGGAGGCGAAGGTTCTTGGCTCATCTTCTTCGGTTCTCTCGGAGTTCCCGACCTTGTCTTGTCTTTACCCATGGACCTCTTCTTTCGGGCTTCTTTCCCATCTCTCGACTTTTGCTTCAAGTTTTCTTATTTTTTGATTTTGTTGTAATATCCGAAAGCTCATTTTTGAAAAAAGCTGACATGTCTGTACTCTCTCTTTCTCTAATATAATCTTCCTTTTTACCATTTTCTTGAGACCAGTTACTTTCCAAGTTTAAAATGGACCTCGAAAGTTCAAAAAAGTGCTGAAAAACTGGAAGGGCGATACAAAAAAATCGTTTTAGTTTTTTGTACGACACTCCGCTGGTACGCATCCGGAATGATTAAAAAGTAAATTAAATGAAAAAAGAAGGTTTTCTTTAAATTTTCACCAATTTTCTTCTAATATGATGGAATATTGCGTTTGTAAGGGTACTGCAAAGATAAATTACCAGAAAAAAACGCAAATCTTCTATCTCAAAAAGGGGCGGGGCTTAGCGGTCCCAACCAGTAAGAAAAAAATTTTTCAAAAAAAGTCAACTTTTTTTCAAAATCAATCTTAAGTATCTTAACAGCCACCCAAAAAAGGTCTTGCTAGCGAAATAGTGTGCGAAATAGAGAGGTTCAGAGTCTGAACTTCAGACGTCCTCCTGATTTATTATTATTATTATGAGTCGTTTTTCAGAGTTTTATAGACCTAATCTAAAAACGTTGATTAGCTTCCAAAAATTTTCCGCCCTGCAAAACATTTCCAAAAAGTTCACCAAGTATTTCTTCATTTTAGATAAAAGTCAATGGGAAACGGGAAAAAGTTGGAATTCGAAACAAGATTATGGGTTTGCTGCACGAATATGTCATTATAACTAATGGTTTCGCGAGGTTTCCTGGCCAAAAAGCCAAAAAAAAACATCATTGGAAGTGGGAATTGTTGTGGAGATCTCAGTCTGTAGGCGTTCACGTTCCTTGTCAGCGTTTCTTTTGGTTTTTTTTTCTTTTAAGCCACATTTTCAACCAATTTTTTATGATTTCGCTCTCTCGAACGTTCTTACAGTAGCTCTTTGTCATACTGTAACCATAAAAAAATTAGTGATACGACAAAAAGCGAATTTCAAACTTCCGAAAATTACGGTATGTAAAAATCTGCATTCTGAGTTGTTCCCTTCGTGTGTTTGCACTTTTGACGTCCGTCGTAAAACTCGCGTTTTTTTTTTCAAATTTTTTAATTTTATTCTCATGAATCAGAATGGATGTTTGACGTATTCCATCTTTTTAATGTCGTTATAATCCATTTCGATGAAAATCGAAAAGTAAATAGAAAACTTGGAAACTCTACGCAATAAAAGTACAAACACACGAAGGGAACAACTCAAAATGCGGACTTTAACATACCGTATTCTTCGGAAATAAAAATGTCGTTCTTCTCATAAATGCTAGAGTGGCCCCTATAGGATAAATATTGGGGGCTCTTAATGGTTGTGCATGAAAATGCATGCAAAATCTTTATAAATAGGTGTTTTTTGAATAAGAATTATCAAAAAGGCTGAATTGGACAAGCTTTAGGGACTCACGGGTCAGACCCTAAAATCCTATAGTGATCACCTAAATTCTAGCTTTCCAGGAAACACGATTTTGTCCCTATAGGGGCTGTTTTTTCCCCAAACCCCTATAAAGATCCCTTTAGCGTCTTTCATATACTAGCTGTAAGTCCAAAACAAACCGGTCTTTTTTCGCTATCCTCACTGATATCGCTGAGCACGACGTCGTCATAGCCTTTTTTCTTCACTGGGGGCTCCATACCCATTTGGCTCTGAACAAATCTCACTCATAATTCCCCAAAATTCTTCCTTCTCACCGCCTTTGCGAGGTCTTCGATTCTCATTTCTTCACTGGGCTCATCCGAATAGAAAATTACGACCGAAAAACTTTGAGAAAAACCGGAGACGACGTCGACGAGTGCTTGAAATGAGTAACACGTTAACTTCTGCTTTTCTTTTTTTTATTTGCGATTTTCATTTGAAGAGTGGTTTATTTCATTTAGTGCATATCTCCAAATTACTTTTTAAATCGAATTAAAGTTTTGTGATGAATAAATTGAATTGAAGATGAGAAATTCAAAGCAAATTTTTCAATATAGAAAAAAATATGTGTTCATGTATTATTTTTTTATACTGTCTGAAAGTCTGAAAAAAACGACGAATTTAGGCGATGGAAGTAGAATAATAGTTTCATAATGTGTCGATTTTCCCTTAAACGAAAGAATAATATCAAAATTTCGTCATCAAAACCCTGGAAATTTTAAATGAAAGATAAGTCAATTTTTTGTGGTATGCATTTTTTTGCGTCCACCGCATTGCACCACTGACATCATAACTGACGAAATTTGGGGGAAAAATTTGCTATTTTTTTTTTCGCTCTTGACTTTATGTCCGTTCAAATTTTTTTTCTCATGTTTTGAAGGAACAGAGATAAATTTTATTAGAAAAATAAATTGGCAAATAGCCGTTTGCAGCGTTATTTTCATGTATTGAAAGATTCTACGTCTGCAAACTGTTTGCAAACATTCCATTAAGGATTTCCAACCATAATTCGATTTCTTTGATTTTTCTGAAAGCCTTGTACAACGATGAATCACTCTTTTAATGGTTTTAAAAGCCGAGGACAGCATAAAAGGGAAGAAAAACGAAACTTCCACGTGCTCATTTTTCTCCTTCTTCTTTTTTTTGCTCTGAATGTTTCAATTACAAGAAAAAAGACGCGTTGAGCAAACTATTGCTCATGAGAACTCATCGAGATTCGCTTAATATTAAACCGCTTATTTATTTATTTAGTTCAGTTCTTTCCAGAAAAAAACTTCAGTTTTTCATTCGAAATCGAGCTTTCTTCTTCCTTTTTCATTTACTTTTTGAAAGTAATATTTTAATATACGCTCTATTTTTCAAATAAATGCGATGAGATCTCCGCAAAGAAGAAAAAAAAAGTTTTTTTTCCCAATCATATAAGTTGACCATTTTGAGCCGTTTTTTAAAGGCATACAATCAAAATCAATGGAAGAGATCTAAAGTGATCACTTCTTCCAAGGCCAGTAACCTGCCTTCCCTGAAGTGACCACTTGAAAAATAAACCTTTAAAGGCATAGGGGCAGTAAAAAACGGTGTTTCAGTTCAAAGCAGTACTTTGTAAAGTTTTTCATTGCGAATCGAACGGTGAACTTGAAAACGTACAGAAGTTCCTAGTTTTGGAGAAAAAATGATTCAAAGTCGGAGAGACGGAAGTTTGAGTTCCCGCGAAAAAGGGGGTTTTGCAGTAAAGTCGCTCTATGGACAACAGGCTCCGCCATTTTTCGGATTCTCGCTTTTTTCTTCGTTTCTTTCAATTTTCAATTTTTTCTGTTTTCACCAAAGTTCTTTTCGTCACAAAAGCTTTCGATTCATGTATAATTTGCAAACTTTGATCGCAAAAATGCGTTTTTCGTGAAAAATGATGATTTTACACAAGTTTCGATTGGGATAGCGATTATTTGTGTTTCCTTTATTATCGGTGTGTGTTTTTTGTTTGACTAAACGTTTTTTTCAGAAAAGAAACCCTTAATTTGAAGCAGAGAGCCGGTTATTTCTCATAAAATGCGAGTCTAATGAGACGTCCGCAACATCGCGTTCACGGCTACTGTAAACATTTGTCCGTAGGCCGATCCAAAGCTTTTTTCAAAAATAAAGGCGGGAAAGTAAAATCGCGTTTTTCTTCTAAAGTTGTCACATCTGTATTTTTTTTTGAGTACACCATTCTGATTCGCAAAGAAAAAAACTATATAAGATACTGCTTTCACCTGAAACCCCATTTTTTTTACTGCCCCTATGCCTTTAAGAAATTTTGTATTTGAACACATGTTAATTTTACGAAAAAAAAAAATGATCGCAATTCAAAAAAAAAGCTTCAAAACGCTATTTTCCATCATTTCTAAAATTTTTTCATTCATATGATAATGAAAATGACTTCATTAAAAAAAGATGAAATCTTAAGGGGCAAAAAAAAGTAGCAAAAATAAATTTTTTTGTGTGCCTAAATCAAACCAGAACCAAATTCAAATCTCGCGCCAAAATATAATATCACGTATATACGGCTGCTTTTGATCGCAGATTTGTTATTTTGGAACATTTTTCCATCCGTTCATTATTTCCATTTCGCGCGCTCCCATACCCAAATTGATAGACAAACACGCGGGAATTTGTCTCCTTTCCCGATTTTTTCGCAGACCTTTTATTTCCCTATGTATCTATACAGTTAAAGACGTCAGAAACGTATTTGTCATGTCATTTTCTCACGGCGGCCTTAAAATTCACTTTTTTTTATTTCCGTAATTCTCACGCTTATTGGGCATACATTACACGGGCGAAAAGTCGTCCATTGTTTTTGTTATTTGATTTTCTTTTCAAGGTTCAATAACATTTCTTGTTTTTGTGTCACTTTTGCCATTTTTTCGAATTGAATTAGGGAATATAATTATCATGCCCTTGGGGGAAAAGAACCTTTGAAGGTGCAAAAAAAGCGACGTTTTTCGAACTTTTACAGGTTTCCTAGTGATAAACGATCTGCCTTCCGTTTTGGGACGAATTTTCGGTCTTTCATTTTTCTTCCCCCCTTTTCTCTTCTGTTTTTTATCGTTCGGCGGGTTTTCTCCCCCTTTGAATATAGAAAACATGGACTTGAAAGGAACTTTTTTTAATGAATAACTTTTTTTCTTTTTTTTTTTTTGATAAAGGGAGGACGAAAAAGGTATCCTTCACTGTTGAGGAAAAATCATTCTGTGGCATTTTTTTGAACAATAAAAAAATACTTTTTTTGGTTGTTCAAGTTTTTTTCCAAGAAAATGAGGTTTTTTTGGGATATTTTTTTCATATTTTCTGATCTTCTTGATTATTCTTGAAAGGATTCCCAATTTATCCATTATTTTTTTAATAAAGCCTTTTTTTCAAACAGTCAATGAATATTAGTAGGGTCGCTCGAATTGATTTTCAAAAATCAATAAAAATAGTTTTTTTAAGTCTGAAAGCTGTAAAAAAATGGGTAAAAATTTTTTTTAGGGATCTTTTTTTCTGACCGTTTAAATATTCAAGCGTTATTTCTCACTTCAAGAGTTTCAATATGAATTTTTTTTTAAGTTAGCATTTTTAATCAATAGACAACACTTTTGAGATAAATCAGGAGAGAATTTTTCAACTATAGTTTTTTTTTTCGGCCCAGCTTTACTCTTTTGAATTTTCAAACATACTATTTTATCTATACTAATTATTTTTTTTTAATCTATACTAATTATACTATTATTTTTCTTATTTTCCAATGAAAAAGCCATAATATAATCGGAATTCATAGTTTTTCGAATGGATTGGTTCATGAGGGAATAAAATAAAAGTTCAAATTGAATAAAACAAAACGATGATAATAATTACCTCAACATCTGAGACTCACGAGGGCCTCGATTGCCTTTTTTTACGGTTTCCTACGGTAATTTTTGTCTTTTCAAGCCTTCTGTAGATGTTTTTGCTCTGGTCTGTAAATAAATATATTGAATAAATACATAAATGAAAGAAGCTAAGAAAAAAAAAGGATGAAGTGTCCTCATTGAAGTATCTAATTCACCATTTTTTATCGGTATTTAAGTTTGGACCCATTTACTTCGGAAAATACAGACTCACGCGGATTTGAGTAAACGTTGACACGTAATCAAAGCTTTCAAAACGACACTCATACCTTTCTTTCTGCTTATATCATTATGATTTGTTGTAATTAGACTAATTAACGAACCAGAAAACTTCCAATTGTTCAGAATTCCTTTAATTTCTTCCAATATTCAGATTAAAAAGATCTCTCATTTTCCCCAAAGTAACATCAATAAGTGCTTCAATCTTTGATCCATTGTTTATTTCTTGTTCAGGAAGTTTCTGCGCGCGAAAAAAGAAAGATCACGTCAGAGCGAACATTTTCTGTTTGCCACGGCCAAAGTTGCCATTGCCATTGTCCCGATTCTGACCGCTCGTATCGTTGAAAAGCCCACCGAAATGGGCCCCGGCCATTGTTCATTTTCGCGCCTAATTCCACTTTTTCGAATTCTTTTTTCGCCTCCTTCTTCGTCCTTTTTTTTGACTTGCACGTTTTTGGATTTTTTCAAGAGTTAAGGGAGTTTTTTTTTGAAGTATCAAGTAGGTAAAATTACGCTTTCTTTATATTTCTATGAGTTTTTGAAGTTTTTCGTACACTTTTGGAAAAAAAATATTCAAGAAAAAAATTGAAGCTTTGGGTATGAAAAAATCTTCTGATCGATTTTCACTGAAAAAATAAAATATTCTGGATTAAAAAAAATTTTGAAGGTCTTTTCAATAATCGCAAGAGAAGTTGAAATCCCCAAAAAGAAAATTCGAGGAAAAGTTTTGTTTGGAGCTTCTCAAGGACTTCTTCGAATTTTTTTCGAAAAACTTTCTTTTTTTACTTCTTAACTTCTGAAAAATTTCCTACTGTTCTGCTTCCTTTCTAACCAAAATGCTTAAAAAAAAGCTCGCGCTTTTGAAAATTATGCGATTTTCCTACTCGCGATCACGTTTATAAGTTTTTTCCCAGTTTCACTAGAGGGTCAAGTTGGGGCGTGAATAATAACTCGTAATGAGATTGCTCCGAACTTATTGCTCACAGTCGCGAGTTGAACATGTCAATGGTTCTGGAATTTCTATTTGCGCCCGACTAGAAGTGACTTTGGCGCTTGAGCATCAAAAAGCATTAGAGCAAGTCGGTTCTGTTTTGAGCCTTTCCAAGTGCGACCAAAGTCAGATGAAGTTTATTGAGACATTTTTTGCCATTTTTTCTTGTTTTTTGCTGTTTCTATTTTTATTT